CCAAACCTTGAATACCAGCAACCACTCCATTTTGCATGGATGATGCGTCCTTTGAAATCACAATGCACTCAGATCTTCATTGTTAGGCTGCTTCTCACTCTTCTTTGAAGCTTTAACTTGCTGTCACTTGAGATTGTGCCATGCTGGGTAGATAAAAGGTTGGCATTTTTAAGCAGCATGCTTTCAATTGTTGTATGCCAATGTAATGCAAATATGACATTTTAGTATATTGCCTCATTACAATGTGAAGATGTCTGAGCAAAGGTGAAGTACTTTGCAATAGTGCGTCAAATTGCTGACATCTGGAGGACTCAACACTCTTGAACCCTCAAAATTTGTTGATACTGTGCTTTACTTTGGATGCACAGATTTCTCAAAAAAACTTGTTCCTCCTCACTGGGTATTTCAGCAGCTCCACCTACTGCATGCATAACCAAACCGTCACAATTTTGCCTATCAGTTGTATACAAAGTAAGATAAGGACGAGTCCTTTGTCTCCTGTGGTATAATGGTTAAAGCTGGGGTAGCCAATGTGATGCCTTCCAGATGTTTTGGACTACAGCACCTATCACCCCTGGCAGAGCGGCCTCTGGTAATGGATGGCAGGAGTTGTCACCTAAAACACCAGAAGGCACCATTTAGGCTACTACTACCACGGAGTTAGGATGTTGACCCACCCCCACAATGAAGCTCATTGGATGTCCTTGGACAAGTTGTCATCTATCACTTGAACCTCCCTCATCAAGACCTTGTGTGTGCAGGGGGCGGGGGGCAAAGGTCAGTGGAACAGCACACATCTGATCTGCCATAGGTCTCAGGGTCCTTCTCCAGTTAAAGGGTCAAATAGAAACCTTTTGGCTTTAAACCTTTAAAGCCTTATACAACCTGGGTCCAACATATCTCAGGAGGTGACTTTCCCTTCCCTGTGGGCCATAGGTATGTGTCAAGTTCAGGGGCAGAGCATCTGGTAGGTTTCTGGAGGAAACATCAGCTTTAGATCCATTTCGGTCCGGTTTACGTCCTGGTTTCAGGACCGAGACGGCTCTGGTTGCCCTAACAGATGATCTCCGTAGACAACTGGATCAAGGCGGGTCAGGAATGCTGATTCTTTTAGATTTTTCAGCAGCCTTTGACATGGTCGATCATGATCTTCTGGACCACCACCTCGCCGACCTGGGAATACAGGGCATAACCCGTAAATGGCTGTGCTCTTTTATCTCTGGTCGGGGACAGAGGTGGCACTAGGGAGGGAAATGTCGTCGCGCCATTCCTTGGTGTGTGGAGTGCCGCAGGGCGCAATTCTCTCCCCAATGCTTTTTAACATCTTTATGCGCCCCCTTGCCCAGATTATCCGGAGCTTTGGGCTGAGCTGTCACCAATATGCTGATGACACTCAGCTCTGTCTGCTGATGGATGGCCACACCGACTCAGCCCCGAACACACTGACCAGATGCTTGGAAGCTGTGGCTGGATGGTTTCGTGGGAGCCTATTGAAACTAAATCCTTCGAAGACAGAGGTCCTATGGCTGGGTCGGGATGGCATGGGGATGAGGGACCAACTCCCTTCTCTTGCGGGGGCCTAATTAGTGCCATTGCCTTCTGTTAAGAGTTTGGGTGTAATCCTTGACGCCTCCCTTTCCATGGAGGCGCAAGTTACAGCAACAGCCAAGACGACATTTTTCCACCTTCGCCGCATCAAGCAGTTGGTCCCTTATCTTTCCCGCCCCGACCTGGCCACAGTGATCCATGCGACAGTCATCTCCAGGCTTGACTACTGTAATTTGCTCTGCACGGGGCTGCCCTTGAAGCTGACCCAGAAACTCCAGAGGGTGCAGAATACTGCAGCGAGGCTCCTCACGGGGTCTCTGCCATGGGAGCATATTCACCCAGTGCTTTTCCAGCTGCACTGGCTCCCGGTGGAGTACAGGGTCAGATTTAAGGTGCTGCTTTTGACCTTTCAAGCCCTTCACGGCCTAGGACCCTCGTACCTACGGGACCGCCTCTCCCAGTATGCCCCACGGTCCATAAATAGTAACACCCTAGTGGTCCCGGGCCCTAAGGAAGTTAGATTGGCTTCAACCAGAGCCAGGGCCTTTTCAACTCTGGCTCCGGCCTGGTGGAACGCTCTGCCTCATGAGACCAGGGCCCTGCAGGATCTAATTTCTTTCCACAGGGCCTGTAAGACAGAGTTGTTCCTCCTGGCCTTTGGCTTGGAGCCAATTTGATTCCCTCCCCCTCTTTCTTATTTCTTTTCCTTTCTCTTCCTGCGATGAGGCTACATTTTAATATTTTAATGTTTCAATATTTTAATGTTGTATTTTAATTTTGTTTTTAAGTTGTATTCATTCAACTTGTTTTTATTATTGCTTGTTAGCCGCCCTGAGCCCAGCCTTGGCTGGGGAGGGCGGGGTATAAATAAAAATTACTATTATTATTATCTGCTCTGCATGCAAAAGGTCCCAGGTTCAGTCCGTGGTATCTCTAGATAGGACTGGGAGAGACCTCTGGCTCAAACCCTGGAAAGCCACTGCCAGTCAGTGAGACAGTACTGGACTAGATGGACCACCTCACAAGCTTGTCTAAGAGCCCAGCCCTTTTCTGCAGAGGAGGATGCTCCAAACTATCGTTCATGTGTCTCACCCCACTGGGGTAGCCTGCTCACAGAGCTGGAGCCTCCTGACACCCAGAAGTTTTATCTGAAAGAGGAACCTTCAAATACACATCATATTTCATTTTGGGTTACATTTCTCTTCATGGACAAAGCCCTGCTTAGTCTTCTCTCTCTGCTCCCTGATCTTACTCCCCCTACCACCCTGACCACATTTATGACCTCCTCACTGGCTCAGCTGAAGATCACAGCATCAAACTGCATTGAACTCAATTGCCTCAGTGCACCACAGCGAGCCTGGTTACTTTGTCAGAAAGCCAGTAATTTCATTATGCTGGAATAAAAGGATAGATACATTCTGTATCAGTCTTTCAGAATGACCGAAGGAAGGTTTGTGTACCCAGCGGCTGAGTGAGGTTTTTGCTAATCTAATAAATTGCCATTTTGGATGAGTCAACAGAATTTGCAAATGCCCTAATCTCATTTGTGTTAGTGAATTGCAGTGCATGAACCTGCAGCCATTAGCATTATAACCTCATGTGTTATAGGGAAATTTAACTTTGCTTTATTACTTGCTCCTTCCCAGAAGCCATCCAGTTCCACCTATTTGGTACCTGCTTGAATAAAATGTCCGAGGAACTTGAAGAGGGGCAAGCAAGCAAACATTAACATGTCTCAGCAAGGGCTCCACAGCTGTGGGATTCTCTTCTCAAGGAGCCATTGCCGAACCAAGACATTTTGCTGTCTGGTGCCTGAGACACCATCTCCCTGCTAGGGGCCAAAACTTTACAAAGTCTTGCTGCATCATTCAGATACCAGTTCCTGCCTTCACCTATTTCCTTTCATGGTTTGTCCCAAACATTTTCACATTCCCACCTAGACAATTTCTCTCTCATTTCCCCACACTCAGAAACTAGGGAGGGGATGACTGTTAGTGACTGCACCCACATCCAGGAGCAGGCTTGGATAGTCTTTGGGAATATAACATGTAGGGTGAGACCAAAATCTGGTGCCCCCAAAGGGATCTTCTCAAGTATGGAGCTTCTCAATTTTGCACCCCCTCAGCTCAGTGCTCTGTGTGAAGGAACCACCCACATTGCCCTAAATCTGATGCTGCCCATGCCAGCCTGCAAATGCTCAAAGATCAGTGGTTGAAGACCTCATGGTGGTTGCTACATGTGTGAGAGAGCCAGAGAAAGGGCTCATTCCACAATGACTCCTTGTATGTGGAATTCTCTCCCGACTGAGGTTGTGTCCAGCCTCCTCTCTTTATAGCTCCAGGCACACACACCTTTTTGGAGGACACTTGGAAGAGGAGAGACCTGGTTGCTGCTGCTGCTATTAGTAATTGTCATTCAGCAGTTTGTTGCTGTGCATTTTTAATAGACTGTTATTGTTCCTTTTTAAAAATGGATTTGATTATTTATTAAATAAATATCATGTGGCCTGCCATTCACCAGAGTGTTGCTTCTGCCCACCCCAAATTGTATCAGACAAGGCTACTGCATGTTCCAGAAGCTGTGTGATGGAACACTGTGATAAAAGACTGCAGGGGAAGGAAGGAAGGAAGGAAGGAAGGAAGGAAGGAAAGTAGGCACTCACAGGCAGTCTCACCAACTGCCCAAATTCCTGGGAGAATCTCATGATATCAGTGGCAGGAAACAAACACTGCTGGAGGGGCTGTAAAATATCACCACCATTCCCTCAGCTACCTCATACCATTATTAAAGTAAGCACAAAGCCCCCCAGATTTCACATAGTTTCCTTTCCCCAAAATATTTTTAACTGAATTTTAATAACAACAGGGAAATAATAATAATAACAGGGGGGAAAGAAATGAAAGAAAAATGAGCATTTTTAAAAAGAGTAAATTGGCACAATTGCCAATAAAGGAATGTGGGAGCCAACTTTGTGATTTACTCAGTCCATAGTACAACAGACCAAGAGGAAAAGGATATGTTGTCTAGAATTCTGAAGGGGTCTGTGGTCAAAATCAAAAGAATTGCAATCTTTTTTATATGAAAAAAGAAGATTTAAAAATAATAATAACCTTGAACAGTACTCAGTCCAGACACTGTAGGACCTGATGCTCCTGCGCTGCTGTGTTTGTACATAAAATAAAATCAGCCCCAATGGCAGAAAAGTGGCCTTGAGAATTTTGGCCCCTGGACACCTTTAGCTTCCATGTGATATTTTCAGGAAGGGAGGTTTGGCACGTCTCGGAATGTCAACAGTCCAGATTATTGAGATCAAAAGTTTTCCACTATTTGGTAATTGTGTTTTGGGCCACTGTTGAAATATAGGAGATCAGCTCCTTATAATCATAGAATTGTAGAGTTGGAAGGGACCACGAGGGTCATCCAGTCCAACCCCTTGCAGGGCAGGAATCTTTTGCCCAACTCGGGGCTTGACCCCACGATCCTGAGATGAAGAGCCTCATGCTCTGCCAACTGAGCTTGTTACTCAAGTCCCAAAAGGTCTGTCCTCCCCCTTTCCCAATTTTCAACTGCAATTTATTTTTGCCCTCTGCTCTCATTCCACCCTCCAGCAGCACCTCACTGCAAATGACCCCCCAAAAGCCCTAAGCCCAAATCACTGGCACAGCGCTAGTTGGTATATGCAAAGCCACCCTCAGCAGTTCATTATATGTGCCACTCCTTTTTTGGCTTAACCTCATTACTCATAGATCTCCAGCCACACACACACATGCCTGTCAATAGCCATATGAAGCTTTAAATCAGCAAAGCAAAATTGCTGTCATCGTTGGTAACAAGAACCCTCCATCATCTGTCAGCTTCATTGCTCAAGTGATGCTTACGGCAGCAAGGAGTTAATTAGCTGGCAGGGGGACAAATGTGACTGACCCCTCCGCAAGGCCGGGTGATTACCATGATATATTCTCATTATGGAAAGCAATAGGCAAAGGAAAGGGAGCTATAATTTATTAGCTTAGTCAAGTCGTATTAGGCTTGTGCTAACTCTGTGCATTTTGATTTGCATGAATGCTTTGGGGATCCGTCTCTGGTTCTGAATATCAGCAAAGAGCTGTGCCCAGTCATTTTAAAGACTTCATCCCCTGAAATTTAGTAACCCCCATCTCATGAAATATGGTGGGGTTACATATGCAGTGGGGTTTGGGGGCGGCGAGGCTTATCAAAGCAGCATCAGCATCAGATCAACAGGCCTATGGGGGTCTGCCCTGTCAGGAGCTCGTCCTACTCTTGAGTAGGACCCTGGCAGAGACACATGCCCGACTGGCATGTTCTCTCCCTCCTCATCGTTCGTTTGGGAGCTTCAAAAGCTTTCTTCAGCCTGAACATCACAGCGACCTATGCCAACAGACATCGGCATACTTAGGGATCTGCAGAGTCTTTGAAGTTTGCATAACAGACCTCAGCAACTCAGCATTTTGGCTAATCTACTTTATTTACGTATAAACACACGCGGAGCACTGCAACATGGCTCCGTCGCTCTAGCATCAGACAGCAAAGAGAAAAAACAGTCCCACTTCACAGAACACAGAAACACAAACATCCTGTCTCCGTCACTTCCCACTTTGTGGAGTCAAAACACACACCGTCATGTGATAGACAAAAATCCCATGACCAATCATGGAGCAGGAATTCTAACATGCCCCACTTCCTGTCCTGCATCTCCTTCATCGTATCAGATGAACAACCCCCCTCTTGGCACCAGCCAAGTAGTGGCCAGACCTTCCAGAGGTTGATTCAACTTCCAGAGCATGTGGTGGGAAAACAAGAATGTGTTTTCCACCAAAACCCAGGAACATCCACTACTTCTCTTCTGACTTCCTCTTTTTCCTCCCTCCTCCTATAAGAGGCCACCATGGAAGCTTAGAATCCAAAAGCATCCTTGAGAATACAAAGAAGCTGCATTTCCTTCCCTTCCCAATGGGACCTGTGTGGCTGCTCTGCTGGTGGCAGGTGAATGAGGCAAAGAGATGGGGAGGTGGAACTGTGAGAGCTCCAACTTCCAAGTTGTCACGTGGGGGTGGCTGCTTTTAATTGTTTTAATGGGGATGGAGTTTTAACTTGGGTGAGTGCTGTCTTATTTGGAGGGTGGGGTTGTTTTAAATTGTTGTTAAATGTTATATGTTAATTTGGATTCTTGTATTTATAGGCTGGAATATGGATTAGGGGCCTTTGTTGGGGAGTGTATTGTTTAGTAGTGTGTATACATTAGTATTGTTGATTCTTTCTATTATATTTTGATTCTTTTTATTATATATTTTGTGTTTTGTATATTGTAACTTTGTGTTGTGAATTGCCCTGAGACCTACGGGTATAGGGTAGTATACAAATTTAATAATAATAATAATAATAATATGAAGCAGTGGTTCATCCCATCTTTCACCCTAACACCGAATTTATAAGAGAGAGTTCTCATCAGATGACTGCTGCCACCTCTTTGTGTGTGAGGCTGCAGGAACTGGGCATGCGAAGTCAGTCCTAAACCTACCATGAGATCTTGATTGAGATATCACCCAAAATTAGTGTGATCTTGCCCCAAACTGGCACCAGTGCTGGCGCCGCTTCTCTGCCAGGGGCAGATGGGGCAGCAGGTGTGGTGGCGGCAGAGCAGGCGATGGTGGCAGGAGCAGCAACGAAAGAAGGGCAAAGCAGCACTTGCTGTCTCGCCTCATGCGGTGAAACAGGATGCCGCCGCCCCGGTTAAACTTTTTTTAAAAAGGGAGAAATCCCATGAATCATAGAATCATAGAGTTGGAAGAGACCACAAGGGCCATCGAGTCCAACCCCCTGCCAAGCAGGAAACACCATCAGAGCACTCCTGACATATGGTTGTCAAGCCTCTGCTTAAAGACCTCCAAAGAAGGAGACTCCACCACACTCCTTGGCAGCAAATTCCACTGTCGAACAGCTCTTACTGTCAGGAAGTTCTTCCTAATGTTGAGGTGGAATCTTCTTTCTTGTAGTTTGGATCCATTGCTCCGTGTCCGCTTCTCTGGAGCAGCAGAAAACAACCTTTCTCCCTCCTCTATGTGACATCCTTTTATATATTTGAACATGGCTATCATATCACCCCTTAACCTCCTCTTCTCCAGACTAAACATGCCCAGCTCCCTTAGCCCTTCCTCATAAGGCATCGTTTCCAGGCCTTTGACCATTTTGGTTGCCCTCCTCTGGACACGTTCCAGTTGTCAGTGTCCTTCTTGAACTGTGGTGCCCAGAACTGGACACAGTACTCCAGGTGAGGTCTGACCAGAGCAGAATACAGTGGCACTATTACTTCCCTTGATCTAGATGCTATACTCCTATTGATGCAGCCCAGAATTGCATTGGCTTTTTTAGCTGCCGCATCACACTGTTGGCTCATGTCAAGTTTGTGGTCAACCAAGACTCCTAGATCCTTTTCACATGTACTGCTCTCAAGCCAGGTGTCACCCATCTTGTATTTGTGCCTCTCATTTTTTTGCCCAAGTGCAATACTTTACATTTCTCTCTGTTAAAATTCATCTTGTTTGTTTTGGCCCAGTTCTCTAATCTGTCAAGGTCGTTTTGAAGTGTGATCCTGTCCTCTGGGGTGTTAGCCACCCCTCCCAGTTTGGTGTCATCTGCAAATTTGATCAGGATGCCCTTGAGTCCATCATCCAAGTCGTTGCTAAAGATGTTGAATAAGACCGGGTCCAAGACAGAACCCTGTGGCACCCCACTAGTCACTCTTCTCCAGGATGAAGAGGAACCATTGATGAGCACCCTTTGGGTTCGGTCAGTCAGCCAGTTACAAATCCACTGAGTGGTAGCATAGTCAAGACCGCATTTTACCAGCTGCTTTACAAGAGTATCATGGGGCACCTTGTCAAATGCCTTGCTGAAATCAAGGTAGGCTACATCCACTGCGTTCCCTTCATCTACCAGGCTTGTAATTCTGTCATGAAGCCATTAAGAAATTAATACCCATCACACAAAATAGCTGAGAATGAACCCCCCCCCCAATGTGCCACCTGCAATTGGGGCAGCAAATTTGGGGGGCATCTTTGCTCAACCACCCTTAAGATCTGAGGATGTGTTCTATAACAGTTCTCCTCATGTGGCCTTTGTGAATTTTAAGCATCCCTTTTTATCCCTAGGTACCCTTTTCCTAGATTTTTTAAAAGGTAAATGTAAAATAAATGTGACTTTTTGGAGTGATTGTTAAAAAGCACAAAATTGGGGCAAGATAAATAGGATGTATGAAATAGTTACACTTTTGCTTAGGCATCTAGAAGTAATTCAGGAAACTAATGGATGGGTTTGGCTCAATGGTGCAATCAGGCATAGAAAAGGTCAATCTCATAGTATGGAAAGCTGTGGCGTGATGAAGCAAAAAACCAGTCCTGTGTGCTAAAAGAAATCCAATTCAAGAGCTTTCATGGAGTTCTAGCCTAAACTCTCATTTCCTGGCACCTGTGCATTTTACGTTTCTAAAGAGTTGACTTATTCTCTCAACTTTTCCCATTCGCCAGGAATTAATTCAATTTAATTAGAATATCCTGCATTCTAGTCAAGGCTGACCTAGGACATTTTGGTGCCTGAAGGTGAAGAACAAGACAGGATTCTATCCAGCCAGTCAGCCCAGCTGCATGTGCAGAAACTACCTGGCTCTTACTTCAGTGGTGGCAACAGGACAGCAGCCCCCCCCCCCCCGGTAGCATGAGGTGGCATGAGCCAGTCGAGAGGCCAGGCCAGGCCATGGGGCACACGCAGTTCTGTCCTCCAACACTGGAGGATAGATTTGTCTGCACAGCAACAACCCAACGTCTTCCCCTGGACTTTTATTCAAGCACGGGAAGACAGGGAGATTACATAGTGCAGACCACTGGTGAATGTAAGGTAAGTGCACCCACCCATGAAAATTTCACTGAAATTTTGTCTTCCCTTTCCAATTTCAAAATGCGATTTATTTTCTCATCACCTGATGGCAAATGGTCAAAAGAGAGAATTCATCAGCACAGTGCCAAATTAGCTGCTCTCTTCGAAGTGCAACCGAAACCTTGCCAATGGATAGCTATTCGGGCTCAGAGCTCTGCTTCCCAGCTTCAATCCACACTTAATGCAATGAAGAAAGAATAAAGAAACCTCTTTTCTAGGAACTAAAGTGCCCCAGGTTAGTTAGTTGCAACTATAGTCTAAAAATAAATGACAATACTTATTGCTTTGGTTAATATACTGTCTGCTAGCTGGCCTGACCTTTTCTACATGAAAGCAAGGACTACGCTAGGGGATAGTGGTATTTGGTCTAATGTAGAATTTATAGCAAGCAAAACACCTCTGGGATATGGTCACATTTGACAACAGAATAGTCATGCAGAGAGGCTTGCCAAGAATTGAAAGCAGGGCTGAGCTGAATCATTTAATTTTCTTCCTAACATGCTTTGTGGGGATGAGGCCCATTTTGGGCATCTTCCATGCTTGCCTCTTGACAGTTGTCCTCACCACCCAAGTGGTGATGGTATGTGGAAACCCACAATGCTGTCAGTATTTGAAAAAGAAAAGGTTCTGACCTCCTTTTTGGTCCTTTGCCTAGTCCTCAGACCTTAGTTGGCACAAAAGAGTCTTTGAGAAAGAGTATTCTTGCAGAGTATTGCTTCTTTTATCCTTAAAAAGTCTTCTTCTCCAACCACGACCGACAACTTTTACACACACCAAACGCAATCAGCTTTCTACCATCCAACCAACCCACACCCAACACTTACATTGACCACTCTATATATACAGGTACAATTTGGTGAAAGGTTGCATGAGTCATTGTAGGCCGCTGGCTCATGCTGACTTAGTTCTTTTAGCATTAAAGAAACAGCGGCCAATTTTTAGCCGTGACACCCCTTCTGTTTCTTAAATGCAAAAAGCCCCAACAGAAAACAAAACATACATACACTATAAACATAAACCCAGTTTTGTCATCAATTCATTATGACATGTTGTTGGCAAAGGCTTGGTAAACAAATCAGCAATATTACCTTGTGATTGACAATACTCCAGTTTGATTACCCCATTCTGTACACAATCTCTAACATTTACATGGCAAATAGCAATATGTTTTGATGCGGATTTCATTATTTCCGAGCCCGCTAATGCAATGCACGATTGACTATCTTCATATACCTGAATAGGCAAATCTACTTTACAATCTAGATCTGTTAGTATCTGTATAAACCGCATGATTTCATTGCATGCTAGCGACAGGCTCCCATATTCTGCCTCACAGGATGAGGCCGCAACAAATCCTTGTTTCTTTGACCTCCATCTAATTATGGAATTGGCAAACATCATAACCATGAGTATTCTGTAATGACAGGGGGGGTGAACAAGTGATTTAATTTTTTTAGGTAGTTCTCAATATACTTGTACCCAGAAGAATGAAGCCTGAGGGCATCCTTACTCAAGATGGAGGTATGTTCCTCAGAGACCACAGCCCTACAAGCAATCCTGTGTTGATGGTGATGTTGTCGGATACAGGTTATGATGCTGTCTGTGCAGAACTTTAAGGGAACATTCACTTGCATAGGAGTAAACAGATTTATAAGGCTTAGCTCTCTCTTCCCAGCTGCTTCTACTCTTCTCAAAGTCATAGTCTGGGAAAGGCTCCTGGGGCTGGGATCTGGGGAAGGCAGGAGGGGAAAGCCATTGCCTGGTGGCCAGATGAGTTTCTCCCCCCTCACAGTATGTGTTCTCCAGTTGTTAAGCCGCTTCCTGATTGTTGCTGAGATCAGGGATGGGGAAACTTGGTGGCTCTGCAGGATCAGCCTCTGGTGATGCAAATCTGGCTGGCATTGTCCCTCACATGACATTGCATGATTGACAGGGGAGCTGTCCTGCTGACCAGTCAAAAGCCCTTGTGCAAGGTTCCCACGCACCCAGCAGCCTGCAAGCTGGTGAGCACTTGTGAAGTGCAGCAGAAGAGACATTGCTAGCCTGGGGATGTGCCAATCGTAGGGAAAAGCACTTCTCTCTCCTCTTGCCCTCAGCTTTGGGAAGCACAAGACAAAAGCCTTTATTTGGCTTGCACATACCTGTTCCCTCTCTGGAAAAAGGAGCACAAACTGAGCAGGATTTAATGCCTCCTTGACAGGTGATGGGGGTGTGTGTGTTAAACTTCATTGGCTGAAGGCAAACGAGAATCAAACGCTGCCCTCCTGCTCATCAGCTGATGGCACAAGGAAGTTTCTTTAGAACTGCAACCATAATCTTTTCCCCCAGAGGCCTGATTTATAACCTTTTAATATAATAATAAAATAGCTTCTTAATAGTTAGAGACACCCCTGCCCACTTAATATTCTTGTTTTTCTATCTGTCAAAATGGCTTTGTGCAGGATTAAGAAAAGTGCTGAGCGCCTCACTTCTTCAAACTCATCCAGCTTTTCTGTTCAGCCATTTTCCTAATCCTGTTGATGTCAAAGTATTCTGGCTTCTGCTATTAAAATATAAACTCAAAGTGAAAAACATATATGTAGCAATTTCAGGACTATTATTCAACACTTGAATTTTAGCTCAATATGCTATATAACACTTTAATCTGACCTTAATACCTTCTAAGACATCCTGATGACTGTGTAAAACAACCGTGGATTCTAGCAATGAAGCACTGCTGTCAGAAAGAGAGGGTGCAAAACTCTTTCCCCAAGATGACGTCAGTGTAACTCATTCAGCAGTTCCACAGAGTATATGAGCACTGCTTTAGCAATAGGATAAAATGTCATCTGTAAAACTTTAGCCATTAGGAGTTTTATACTCACTGGGATATTATTTTATGCTATATAGAGGCAAGTGCCCTCACCTCCACATATTTCAACGTGGCTTAATGCAGTTTGCAAGGTGAAGGAGAAGTTCACACGGAGGGTTACAACCATATAGAATTGAGAATTAAAACAGTGAAAGCATATTATATACCCAGGAATAGTGTGGGTCCTGACAGCACACATCTCAGGTGCTGAAAGGACCTGCTTTACATCCAGGAGGTCACATGTTCAGTCCCCAGCAACTCCAGGCAAGGGTCTGAAATCTTGGAGAGCTGTTGCCAGTCAACGTGGACAATACTGGGCTAGGTGGACCAATACAATCTGACAGTGCATTTCATGCTTCTTTGTTGTCCACTGAATGCAACTGATGGGTGAGTGGGAACTAGTGACAGGTTGAGCTTTCCCCTTACCACACCTCATAATGAGTTCATTTTTTTCTAAACATGCCCTAAATATTTCCATAATTTTTGGAGAAAGTTTGGTAGTATTGCTTAGTCCTCACTCTGTTTTCAGGACTTATAAGCTTCCTGTTTCCTCTGCACCAGGGGATGGACGCCTCTCCCAACACCACGGAGAGAGACAGACGGAGATAATCAGAAAATTATCCTCGGCTCTCACCTGTAGTTTGCCTGGTGGTCTGGCACTTGCTTCCCCATGGAATGTGAGGGCAGGCAAAGGCACTGGGTGCATGGAGCACTCTGGCTGCCGCGACCCCTCAATCCTGTTCATGGAAACACAGGTTATTCTGATAATTGATTTTTTTTAATTGGAGTAAACTACAGGTGTGTGCTAGAGACGGTGAGATAAGAAACTGCAAAAATGAACCCAGCCACAAGGATTTAAGAGGTTTGGATTGAGAGAGGATTTCATTCGGTGAAAGAGACAATGGGAGGAGGGGAGCCTACGGTTTGCTTATATCAAAGATTTTCTCTGCATTTATGATACAACAACCTTCCCTGGAATACAAGTTTTTTTTTAAAAAAATATCAATACAAATGAGAAAGGAAGAAATTGGAATATAATGTGGAATTTAACAAAACTGGAACTACGTGTGTGAGAGAAAGGAACTGAGAGGGGAGGGGAGGGGAACACTACGCTTTGAAAATATGGAGCAAAGTCCTCCCTAACCTCTGTTATCCACAAAGGAATGTGTTTGAGATAAGGACAATTGGCCATAAATCAGCGGCAGGGAAGAAAGGAGTATACCAGTTGCGGGAATAGCAGCTTTTGGATTAACTATTTGCAAAATGCATACAATAAGGAGGAAGCATAAAAAACAAACGTGTACATTGGAAGTAACATACAAACATGTATTCCATTAGGGAAAATATAATTTGTACCAAAATTTTGATAATTAAAAAAGGGGGGAGGGGGAATCACAACTGATGCAGAAATGTTGAGAATGAAATTTAAGATGGGGGTGTGACAGGGATAAGAATCTGAGAGAAACTGAAATTGGCAGATTTGCCTGTCTTTCCACATAAGCATGGGCAAAATTCTTATATCATTAAGCAAACATTTTCAAGCAGCCTAACATGTTAGCAAGGAGGGTATTCTACCCTGACAACACATGTAGCCCATCAAAATGCCCCCTGGAAGCAATTACCACAGCTACAAATGCAATTACCACAGCTCTGTGTCAGAGCAGTACATCCACATTTAGTGTGGTCAAGTGTTTGTGAGGAGGCCTCAGATGTCAAAAGAGAATTGTTCTGTGACTCTCAAATTCTCCTTTGCAACTGTCAGGATTTCCAGCTTTCAATAAGATTTATGATCTGAACTCTTGGAGGGAGGTTTTGCCAAAGCAGCTGTGATAGACTTTGTAGGAAAGTATGCCCCCCACCCCCACCCCAATTTGGCTTCTAGACTGTGGTTAATGATAATTGTCTTCTATATATCAAGCTGTGGAAATATTATAAGAACAAACCTCACGACAAGTTTGGACCCAGACTCCTTGGAGGCAGAGTTCTCTGGAAACTAAGCTCCAATAAGAAGTTAGTTGCACATCCTGGTTCATCCCATGTGAGTTTGTGGTAACCAGTGCCTTAAGAGACAACATTGCTTCCACACTCTGACAGCTGGTCCACTGACTTTTTATGGGATCAAAAGAGCCCTGAGGAGAGACTCTAGAACTGGTACCCCCACTACTTTGCAGGAGCCAATAATTACAGAAGAATTCTGGAGCATGATCCACGATGAAATTAAGAAAATATTAAGAATATCATATAGTAAAAGGCCAGAGGCATTCCTTTTAGGAATTTTAAATGATGATATTCCAAAAGACAAAACTAATTTTTTCTTATACGCAACGTCTGCAGCAAGAATCTTGGTGGCTAAATACTGGAAAGGGAATCAGTTACCCACTAGGGGAGAGTGGCTATGTAAGCTCTCAGAATACTTTGAATTAGCCAAATTGACAGATATAATAAGACAAAAACCAAAAAGTGAAGTAAAAAAAAGAATGGGAGTGCCTAAATGAATACCTCAAAAGCCAAGGTTCGAGGGCAGAAATCTGGCTGAGTCTGGAATAACCTTGTGAAGTGAAAGGACATGAAAGAAGGATTTATATCTAGATGTTAGGATAGAGAGGATAAAGAAAACAGGAAAACAGGAAGACAGAATGAGAGATAAAGGAGGTGCTGTGGGATTGGTGGAAGTCAATGTCTTGTTGTTGTTGTTTTAGTGTTTGTAATATTAATTTGTAAGATATAGATTTGTTTGTTTTGTTTTTTGTTTTTGTTTTTTTAGTTTTCGAATGTTGTTCTTTGTGTGTTGTGTATTGTTATCTTTTGATATCTTTTGTGTTGTTGTTGTGTGGAAAATACTAATAAAATTCTTTTAAAAAAAATTACAGAAGAAGGCACCAGCCCTTTAAGTGTTCAGAAATAGTGGCACTCAAGCAGTGGGGCCTCCAGTCAATGACTATGTAGCCCTGTTATAAAACGTAGCCAGTTATCTCCTTGCTGAGACAGTAGGGATGGTTGGATCTCAGCTGCAGGACTACTATCCATGGCATTGAACCTTGACCTCTCTCCGAGGTTCTGATCATTGTCTCAGCACCACTTCATGAGTAAGGCTTCAGAACTAGACCTCTCCCTCTGAATGTGAACCTCCCTTTTCAACCACAAAGACGAAGGTTTGCAGCATCCAACTGTCTCCTAGCTGCCCTTCCCAGGAGATTAGGATTGCTCCCTAAAACAATATCAAGGACAGAGAGCATTAAAGCAGTCATAGAATCATCACAGAAATGTAGAGTTGGAAGGGACCCCAGGGTCATCTAGTCCAACCCCAGCAATGCAGGAATCTCAGCTAAAGCATCCCTGACAGATGGCCATCCAACTTCTGCTTTAAAACCTCCAAGGAAGGAGAGTCCACAACCTCCCGAAGGAGACCATTCCATTGCCAAATAGCTCTTACTATCAGAAAGTTCTTCCTGAGGTTTAATTGGAATCTCCTTTCTTGTAACTTGAAGCCATTGGTTCGAATCTTATCCTCCAGAGCAAGTGAAAACAAGCATGCTCCATCTTCCATGTGACAGCCCTTGAGATATTTGAAGATGGCTATCATATCTCCTCCCAATCTCCTCTTTTCCAGGCTAAACAAACCCAGCTCCCTCAACCGTTCCTCATAAGGCTTGGTTTCCAGACCCTTGATCATCTTGGTTACCTTACTCTGCAAATGTTCCAGCTTGTCAACATCCTTCTTAAATTGTGGTGCCCAAAATTGGACACAGTATTCCTAGTGTGGTCTGACCAAGTCAGTTTAAATACCAGAAATCATAGCAGTAGAATGAAAACTCGGCCGAGAGTGTTATACATTTATATCATGTTCCCTCTTTTCTCTAAGAAGTCCCGAGCACTGCAACCTTTCCTCATAGGAGAGTCTCTCCACCCCTTTGACCATTTTGGTTGCCCTTATATAGTAAGAGTGTGACAATTGGGTCATTTTATATGATAGTATGCTAATAAACATTGGACTCCATTCCAAATCACTTTGCTGTAACTTTATATGGAAGTGCAGGGTGATTGCTCCTTTCTAATTACATCACGTTAAGTTTTGTACTGTTGACTTTAATGGCTGCTTATTCAGTAATGTTTGCCTTCTTTTCACAACTGGTACTCATTCTTGAGCCTGAAAGTTTGGGAAAGGGTGCACTTACAAATTTAAGAGTGTACTAAAGTCAACAATCAACCCACCACACAAAATGTCTATTGCTCAGTTTAAAGAATTCTGAATGTATAATAAATTTATTCTGAGCTGGAAGAGAAACTGGAAGCTGCAGAGAAGAAACCTTTCCAAAATCCAGGAAAACATTAGACTGAATTATTGTATTTTCCTTATTGTCTTTATTTCCCTCTAGGAACTTGCTGAAAATTACCTGAAGCAGGTTTTAATGACTACATTAAGCAGCACTGAAGAATCAACATGACGTGAATGTAAAAATGGTGAAGAAATTATTCACGAACATGTTCATCGTTGGCTAAGTGAAGTGACACATTTGGTTTAGCTTGATGTTTTGACATTCTCTTTTCTCTCTTTATTTGCTTAGAAAATGGTTTGGGCAATCAGTGGTTCTCCAGATGTTGCTGAACTACAGCTCTCATCATGCTGACCACTGGTCACACTGGATGGGGCTGATGGGGGTTGGAGTCTGGCAACATCTGAAGAGCCACAGGTTCCCCATCCCTGGTTTAGAACAAGGTGTCTCCCTTGAGCACTAGGATATTGGGGTATAATTTGGCATGCATGCTCAGGATAATATTCTCAGTTTCAGGTTTGACCATCAGCTTAATCACCCCACCCATTTTCAAGGAGGTCAGGAAAGAACTACATGTATCAATTTATCTTTTCAGGACACGTATCAAAAAAGGAAATTAGATTCATTTTGCATTACAGTCATACTTCAGCTCCCAAATGCCTTGGGAGTCAAATGTTCCAGCTCCCGGACGATCGAAAACCAGAAGTGAGTGTTCCAGTTTTCGAATTTTTTTTGGAAGCCGAACATCCAGCGCAGCTTCCGATATTATTTCCGGCATGCCTGCACAATTGGAAACCAATTGGAAGCTACTCTGAAGGTTTCAGAAGTTGAACTGACTTCCGGAATGGAGGTACAACTGTACTTGTTTTTGGGAAAGCCATGCTGGGTCTTTGAATTCTGGTGCTGGAAGAGACTCTTGAGAGTCCCATGGACTGCAAGAAGATCAAACCTATCCATTCTGAAGGAAATCAACCCTGAGTGCTCACTGGAAGGACAGATCCTGAAGCTGAGGCTCCAATACTTTGGCCACCTTATGAGAAGAGAAGACTCCCTGGAAAAGACCCTGATGTTGGGAAAGATGGAGGCATAGCTGTCAAGTGTCCCTTATTTGAAGAGACAGTCCCTTATTCCAGCGCCATGTCCCGCTGCTGTCCCTTATTGATGGATGTCCCTTAAATGTCCCTTAAATGATGTCCCTTAAATTTCAAAGGAAGCAGCTTCCCTCCCTCCCTGCTGGCCAGGGAGGTGGGAGGCTCCAACTGTGTTGCTTGGCTGTGTTGCTCACCCAATAAGAAGTCTAAGAACGACTGGGGGGTGGAGCTTGCATGCCTTGTGTGTGGCTAGCTAATGCAAGCTGAGTGGGTTTTTGAATGCTGGACGCCATTTTGTTGCATGTGCTGCTGCAAACTTTGCAGTGCAAAGCCAGGCCGGGGAGCCATCTTAAGTTGAGGCTGCATAGGCCTTGTGGTGCATGTGATTCAGATTCTATTCAGTTGAACCTCTGGTTACAAAGTTGGTTGGACAGTGTTCTCGAAGCTACCAGCATGAGTTTGACCAGACTGCAGGAGGACAGGAAGACTGGAGTGCCTGGAACAGGTGAGGCTGCAGGTCCCTTATTTTGGCTGCTGGTCCCTTATTTTCAAGGCTGCTGGTCCCTTATTTTCAAATCTGTAAGTTGACAGCTATGGATGGAGGGCACAAGGAGAAGGGACGACAGAGGACGAGATGGTTGGACAGTGTTCTCGAAGCTACTAGCATGAGTTTGACCAAAATGGGGGAGGCAGCGGAAGACAGGAGTGCCTGGCGTGCTCTGATCCATGGGGTCAGGAAGAGTCAGACACGACTAAACTACTAAACAGCAACAACAACAATGCTGGGTCTTAGTAATCACAGCATCCTTTTCTAAATGCTTACAAAGTGACTGTTCAGCTATCTGTTCTAGGACATTTCCTGGTACTGAGGTCAAGCTGACTGGTTGGTAATTACCTGGATCTTCTTCCCCACCCTCACTTTTTGAAGAGGGAGACATTTGCCTGTCTTCAGCTTGCAGGAACCTCCCTTGTTTTCCAAGAATTCTCAAAGCTTATAGACAGAGGCTCTGTCTATAATCCTCACATCATTTATTCTGCTATCACCAGGTTGGGCAACACTTTTCTTTTCTTTCTTTCTTTTTTAAAATTTTTTATTGGAATTTTATTTACAACATAACACAGACCCCCCACCCCCAATACACATTAAACGTGAACATAACATACGGTGAACATAACATACAACAATACAAACAACCAAATAAAAGACTTCCTTTGTCCTGTATCTGGCCTCCTTATTTACTTCTTATAAACTGTTTATGAATAATTATTTAAAAATTTCTAATTATAACTTAAATATCCACAAAGTCTCCTGCAGGCATTAATCGAAACAAGGTATGTATTTTAGGGCACTGTTTTGTGAAGTATTCTCTGCATTTCCCCCATGCTTTTTGAAACTCTTGTCTAGTGCGATCTCTAATTGCCTCTGTTAATCTAGCCAGTTCAATATACTCTAACAGTTTGTCTTGCCATTCCTTATTTGTTGGCACATTTTCTTTTTTCCAGTTTTTAGCAATTAGGATCCTTGCTGCTCCTGTGGCATAGAGAAATATTTTCTAATCTTCTCTTGCGATACCTGTATCCGTTATCCCTAGTAGAAAAGCTTCTGTATTTTTCATAAAGTTATACTTAAACATTTTTTTAAGCTCGTCATACACGATGTTCCAGAAGCTTTTGATTTTTTCACAGGTCCACCAAACATGTATAAGTGTCCCCTCCGTTTTACCACACCTCCAGCACAGATTTGTTTTTGTCTTATGCATTTTAGCTATTTTGGTAGGTATTAAGAACCATCTAAATCCCTGCTTCTGCCAACCTAGCAGTTTGAAAGCACGAAGTGCAAGTAGATAAATAGGTCCCGCTCCTGCGGGAAGGTAAACGGTGTTTCTGTGTGCTGCTCTGGTTCACCAGAAGCGGCTTAGTCATGCTGGCCACATGACCCGGAAGCTGTACGCTGGCTCCCTCGGCCAATAAAGCGAGATGAGCGCCGCAACCCCAGAGTCAGCCACGACTGGACCTAATGGTCAGGGGTCCCTTTACCTTTACCTTAAGTACCATGTATAAAACATCTTGATTATGTTTCCCCTCAATACTGTAAATTTCCAGTTCTTTCTCCATAGTTCTTCCCATGCTGTTAAGTTAATGGTTTTCCTAATATCTAAAGCCCACTTGATCATTACCTCCTTTGACCTCCCACTCCAATAATGTATCATACATTTTTGATATTACCTTGGTTTTGTAATAACACTTTTTCTAATAATGAAGGTTCGTTTGAAAAACCATTTTTCTTATCTGCCTGAACACTTCATGCAATTGATGGTATTGGATCCAACCTGTAAGGTGTTGTTTAATTTCCTCATGATCTTTAATCACCAATTGTCTTTTTCTTTAATCAGATCTTAATATGTGGCCCATTCTAACTCCATATTTTTCTTTTTTATTGTAATTGTTTCTAGAGGTGATGCCCACCATGGTGTTTTCGGTTCTAGGAGATCCTTATATTTTGTCCATGTTTTATATAATTATTTCCTTATGACATGATTCATAAATCCCCTGTGTACTTTCCCTTTTTCATCAGCTAAATACGCATGCCAGCCATAATGATAAACCCTTCTAGATCTAACAAATCACCATCTTTTAATACAATCTACTCTTTTAGCCAATTTAGACAGACAGCATTGTAATATAAATTTAGGTCAGGTAGCGCCAGTGCACTTCTATGTTTTTTATCTGTTAGAAGTTTGTGTTTAATTCTTGGGTTTTTTGCCATAATCTAAGACTTCTCATTCCTCCCATTCCTTTTGGGTGAAGACAGAGGCAAAGTAGGTGTTGAGCAGTTCCACCTTCACTTTGTTACCCAACAGCATTCTTAATAATAATAATAATAATAATATCTTTATTGTCATTGCCCCCTTCGGGGACAATGAAATTACTTGACTGCTCCATAAAAACTCTAATTAATCAATACAGTATAATACAGCAAGGGAGATTAGATGACTTTCAAAGTCCGGGCTTCCCATTCAGGGCCGAGATCGCTCTGGAGAAGAAGCTGTTCTTAAGACGGCTCGTTCTTGTCTTCATCGTCCTGTATCTCCGTCCCGACGGCAAGAGCTCGAAGAGACAGTGACCAGGATGCGATGGATCTTTTACTATGTCCAGTGCCTTCCTATGGCACACTGGTGGCATAAATCTGCTCTAAGGTGGAGAGTGGGCAGCCAACAATGCTCTCTGCTGCCTTAACAACCCTGCACAACCCCATCCTGTCCTGGGTAGTACAGCTTCCGTACCACACACATAAGCCATAAGTGAGCACGCTCTCAATGGCACAGTGATAGAAGGCAAGCAGCAGTTTCTGCGGAAGATGGTTTTTCCTTAGTATTCTCAAAAAGTACAGTCTCTGCTGCGCCTTCTTCACAACCCCCCTTGTGTTGACACTCCAGGACAGATCCTCTTGTGATTCAATGCCCAAAAATCTGAACGTTGTTACCCTCTCTACACAGACCCCATCAATCAAAAGTGGCTGGACGTTGCTCTTCTGTCTCCTGAGGTCCACCACAAGCTCCTTTGTCTTCCTTGTATTTATGAGCAAGTTGTTAGCTCTGCACCACTCTGTCTTCTCCATGTTCTTCCTCTTGCTTCAAACATAGCTGAAGAAACCTTTTAAAATTATTTTATTTTATCATAATTTTTTATTGAGTTTTCCATATTTCATTTCAATTCAATACACATATTCACAACTTATATTCTTTGCTCAGAAGGAGCATTGACCTCCTTCCCTCCCTCTTTCTGACTTCCCTATAACATTAACGTATCTACTGCATTCCCATAATCACTTCTTTACCTTATATCAGCATTTTAAAAAAAACCACTCTCTCATTTGTAAATTAGCATCTTATTTTCACATTACTAAGCATTTCATGTTAAAGCTACAAACGTTTTCAAGTAAATACAGTTTTCTTTCAAATAATAAATAAATTTGCTCCAGTCCTTTTGAAATCTTTCATCGGGTCGATTCCTGATTTTCCCCGTCAACTTCGCCAACTCCACAAATTCTACCATCTTTATCTGCCAGTCCTCCAATGTGGGGAGTTTTTGCTGTTTCCATCTTTGGGACAGGAGGATTGTTGCTGCTGTTGTGGTGTACATTAATAAATTTACATATTTTTAATGAATTTCTTCACTAATTAGCCCCAGTAAGAATGCCTCTGGTTTTTTTACTGAAATTATATTTTAGTATCTTTTTTAATTCATTGTAAATAATGTCCCAAAAGGCCTTAACTTTGGTGCAGGTCCACCACATATGTAGGAAGTTTCCTTCCTTCACCCTGCATTTCCAACATGACTTATCCTGGCAACTATACATTTTGGCAAGCTTACTCGGAGTAATGTACCAATGATACATCATCTTCATTAAGTTCTCCTGAAGAGCCACACATGCAGTAAATATGATTGTTTTATTCCATATTAATTCCCATCTCTCAAAATCAATGTTGTGCCCAAAATCCTGTGCCCATCTTATCATCACGCTCTTTACCTCCTCATCTTTTGTATTCCGCTCTAACAATACTTTGTACATTTTTGACACCATTTTCTTTTTACTACACAACAGTTCTGTCTCAATTTTTGATTTAGTGTTACCAAATCCATTATTTTTATAATCTTTCCTAAAGACATATTGCAATTGGTGGTACTGTAACCAGTCAGTTAGTTTCCCTCTCAACTCCTCAAATGATTTTAATTTTAATTTACCATTGACTTCCACCAATAAATCTCTATATGTCACCCATTCCTTCCCCATATTCTTCTTTTTTACTGCAAATGCCTCCAGTGGTAAAATCCACCACGGGGTTTTGCGTTCTAACAGGTTTTTATGCCTGTTCCGTACCTTATACAAAGATTTTCTGATGATATGGTGCAGAAACCCTCTCTGCACTTTTACCTTTTCATACCACATATAAGTGTGCCATCCGAACCTGTTATCAAATCCTTCTAAATCTAATATCTCCTCATTATCCAATGTCATCCATTCATGCAACCAACTAAAGCAAGATGCCTCGTAATAATTTTTTTAATCTGGCTGGCAGAAGCCACCTCTCTCTTTTACATCTGTCAAAATTTTGTATTTAATCCTAGGCTTCTTCCCCAGCCAGATAAATTTAGAGATTCGTTTTCGCCAAATATCACATTGCTTTGTTCCACATATAATGGTCTGGAATAAAAATAACAATTTTGGGACCACATTCATTTTAATAGTTGCGATTCTGCCCATCAACAATAATTTCATTCTAGTCCAAATTTCAAGATCTTGTTTTATCTCATTCCATACCTTTTCATAGTTGTCTTTGTAAAGGGTGATGTTTTTTGTTGTGAGCCATATGCCCAGATATTTTACTTTTTTGCAGTCATTAATTCTGTTTTCATTTGTGCCTCTTCTATTTCCTTATTGTCCATATTTCTTGCTAATAATTTTGTTTTGCTCTTATTAAGTTTGAATCCTGCTAGATGACCATATTCTTCTAATTTTTTCACTGCTTCAACTGCACTGCTTGTTGGTTGTTCCAGCGTCAACACTACATCGTCTGGCAAAGCTTTATACTTGTACTTTCTATAGCCAATTCCAATGCCCTTTATTTCTTTTGTTTCATCTATTTTTTTCAACAGAATTTCTAATGTTGTTATAAATAATAATGTTGATAACGGGCATCCCTGTCTTATTCCTTTTGATATTTCAATTATTTCCGTAAGTGTATTATTGATTATTAGTCTGGCATATTGTTCTGAGTAAATAGTTTTAATTCCATTTATAAATTTCGTTCCCATGTTCATAATTTCTAAATTTATTTTCATGAAATACCAAGACACATTATCAAATGCCTTCTCAGCATCCAAGAACATTAACACTGCTTGTTTATCCCTTCTGGCATCCAAAAATTCAATTATACCAATAATGTTTCTAATATTATCTTTCAGTTGTCGACCAGTCACAAAGCCAGTTTGGTTTTTCCCAATTCTCTCTCCTAATATTTGTTTATACCGATTAGCTAGAATACTAGCAAATAATTTATAGTCATTATTTAGGAGACAGATTGGTCTGTAATTTTTAACTTGAGTCAGGTCTGTGTCAGGTGTAGGGAGCAGGGTGATGTGGGCTTCTCTCCAGGTCTCTGGAATTTTATTTCCTTCTAGAATATTATTCATCACTTCCACCAAAGGTGCAGACAGTTGTTCCGAGCATTTTTTATCAATCAACCTTTATTACCATCCAGAGACCCAACAAATCGTTATAAGGCAATACACAATTCATACAGCCTACCTCCAGGTTAAACAAGCATTTCGTTCAGAATATAGGGATCATTGGTTCTTGCAACCACCGATAAAAACTTGGCCACTGCTAATGTTCTAGCATTTGTCCGGTCTTCCAATAGGAACCTGACATAGTGAGCCTCTGATTTTCCTGGGAAAGGTACCAGCAAGGGTAATATCAGTTCAGCCCTGGCTTGCTCGTATTTTGCACAGTGCAACAAAATATGTTTTATGGAATCGATGTCTTGAGCACACGAGCAAAGTCTGTCCTGGTAGGGAACTCCTCTCAACCTGCCATCTAACACTGCAGAAGGAAAGACATTTAGTCTGGCTTTGGTGAAAAGCCTTCGATAATTTGGTACTGTCAGGTTTTTAATGTAAGATGTTAACTTAAAGACATGCCCATATTGTACTCCTACTGCCAGCGGACTACAGACTGCGTGTGATTGAGATCGCAAGTCACTGTGTGCATTATCCCATAATCTTTGCTTTAACATCTTTAAGGCGCCTTCATAACTCAGGTAATACAGTTGGGGGGGGGTGACAGACCAATAGAGGTGACTTTTTTAGCCATGGTTTTCTGCCATTTGCTGACAAATTCCTCATTGGTCAGGTGTTGGTACAAACCCTTCCCCAGATCAAACATTGAAATCCTGAGCCAATGTTTTAGGGCAGCCCACCACGCTTTAGTTGAAATTGGGCATTCACCAGCTTCTAACAGAAGTATGGAGTTGGGGACACAGTTGGGTACCCGCAGCAGAGATCGTATAAATTTTGCCTGAAAGCCATCTAGCTTTGGCAGGTCCCCATTATGCCACACATTTGCAGCGTACAGGAGTTGGGAAACGGGTTTTGTCTTGAAAACCCTTAAGGCTGCTGGAACATATTTGCCGCCCTTTGTGAAAAAGAATCTAAGTATGGCTAGCTTTGTGATCTCCGCCTTTTGAAGGGAGGTTTGCCAGTGGTGCTTCCAAGATCCTGTAGGATGGAATGTGAGCCCTAGATAACTGAAGTATTTTATTTGTTCAAGGTTATGGCCATCCAGCACCCATTTAGACCAGGAGAAACTTCTTTCGAAAACTAAAATTTTAGATTTTTCATAATTAATGGATAAACAATTTCTTATAATATTTGGCTGTCAATCTGTCTGTCTGAGCTTGCTGGGCAGCAGTTGAAGAAGGAGCAAAAAGGGTTTTCTTGTGTGTGTGTGTTCTTTGTGGCCGATTAGCTGCTCTCCCTGTGCAAAGGTCAGAGGGGGCAGGGTTTCTGTTGAGGCAGGTGATTAGCTGTGGGAGGAGCTTATCAGAGCTTGCAGGGCAGTTTAATCCATCTTTTAGATTTAGGGGAGCTAATCTCAAACGTTTGTTGGGGGAGACCTAGGTTCTTTTTTGTGGGGGGCGTTATTTGTCCTGTCTTCACGCTTTTTTTGATGGAGGACCGCTGTAGCCACCCCCAACGACACATTCTCAAGATGGAGGGGGAGGGAACAACTGCAGTCGCCTGCGGTTCCTGCGCAATGTTTGCCATCTTGCCAAAGGTTGCAGGCAGCTTTACCTGCAGCAATTGCATGTTGATTGCCCTCTTAAAAGACAAAGTCCAGCAACTGGAGGAACGTGTAGCTACGCTCCAAAGAATTAGAGAGCTGGAGCTTTTCTTGGAAGCAACAGAGCACAACGTCTCCACCAAGGAGGAGACAGGGGGCTCCCCTGACAAGGAGGCTAGTACACCAACACAGGAGCCAGATATATGGAGAAACGTGACTCAAAGAAGTAGGAGGCCCAGGGTTCGCTCTGATTGTTTAGAAATACACAATCGCTTTGAGGTCCTCTCCCCTAGCATGGAAGACGAAGAGCAGACTCCATTTGAGGATCTCTCCTCATTACAGTCGATCAGGTATATGAAGACGAGCAGCAAAGTCAGTCCTCAGGGAATGTGCAGGCGACCTTGGAACGGACAGCTCACGGAAGAACCCCAACCAAACCTAAGAGGAGGCGTGTAGTGGTGATAGGGGATTCCCTACTGAGGGGAACAGAAGCAGTGATCTGTGGGCCTGACAAGATGTCTCGGGAAGTGTGCTGTCTCCCCGGGCCTAAGATCCGAGATGTAACTGAACGACTGCAAGGAATCATAAAACCCACTGACAAATACCCCTTCCTCTTGGTTCATGTGGGAACCAATGACACTGCAAGCAATAGCCTCCAGAAGATCAAAAGAGACTACGAGGCTCTGAGCAGGAAGTTGAAACAATTAAATGCACAAATTGTCATCTCATCTGTCCTCCCAGTTGAACGACGTGGCCCAGGGAGAGAGGGAAAAATAGTGGAAGTGAACAGCTGGCTTCGCAAATGGTGTAAACAGGAACGGTTTGGATTCTTAGATCACTGACTGCAGTTTCTTGAAGATGGACTTCTGGCAAGCATTGGGCTGCACCTCACAACGGTTGGGAGAAATGTTTTTGCCAAAAATCTCAGAAACCTCATCAGGAGGGCTTTAAACTGACTAATGTGGGGGAGGGAGACAGTGCTCCTGAAGGTAGGAGTCTATCAATTGATGAAGACGATCATCCAAATGTCATAGACCAAATGGAGCAAATAGCACGCAGACCTAGTGGTGGGAGGAAAAAATCCTTAAATAAGAGACACGGGGGAATGATTAATGGACTTCAATGTCTGTACACTAATGCGCAAAGCATGGGAAATAAACAAGATGAGCTTGAGCTCTTGGTACAGCAAACTAAATATGACATAATAGGCATCACTGAAACCTGGTGGGATAAGTCCCACGATTGGAATGTAATAATGGGGGGATACAATCTATTTCAGAGAAACAGACCAGACAAGAAAGGAGGAGGTGTGGCGTTATATGTCAGGGATGTGTATACCTGTGAAGAGATCCAAGATTTAGAACCTCAAAGCCAAAGTGAGAGCATTTGGGTCAAAAATAAGGGAGAGAAGAATAACAGTGACCTCATTGTGGGAGTTTACTATAGATCCCCAAGCCAAACGGAGGACATAGATGATGCCTTCCTGGAACAGATGGCCAAGCATGCAAAAGGAAGGGAGATAGTAGTAATGGGGGACTTCAATTACCCGGATATTTGTTGGATGTCAAACTCAGCCAAGAGCATAAGGTCAAACAGATTCCTCACTGGCCTTGCAGACAACTTCATTGTCCAGAAAGTGGGAGAAGCAACAAGAGGAACAGCCATTTTAGATCTGGTCCTAACCAATGTTGATGACCTGGTTAGTGGGGTAGAAGTGGAAGGATCATTAGGCGCAAGTGATCATGCTCTTCTGAAGTTTACTATACAGCGGAAAGGAGCAGCCAAGCATACTAGGACTCAATTTCTTGACTTTAAGAAAGCCGACTTCATAAAACTTAGGGAAGTGCTGGGTGAGATCCCATGGACAATAATACTAAAAGGAAAGGGAGTTCATGATGGCTGGGAGTTTGTTAAGAGGGAGATACTAAAAGCACAACGTCAGGCAATACCAATGAGACGGAAACATGGAAGGTGCCTAAAGAAGCCAGGGTGGCTATCTAAAGAACTTTTAACTGAGTTAAGATTAAAAGAGGATGTGTACAAAAATGGAAAAGGGGGAAACCACCAAAGAGGAATTCAAACAAATAGCCAGCACGTGTAGACACAAAGTCAGAAAAGCTAAAGCACAGAATGAACTCAGGCTTGCTAGAGATGTTAAAAGCAACAAAAAGGCTTTTATGGGTATGTTCGTAGCAAAAGGAAGAACAAAGAAACAGTGGGGTCACTCAGAGGAGAAGATGGTGAAATGCAAACAGGGGACACAGAAAGGGCTGAACTCCTCAATGCCTTCTTTGCCTCAGACTTCTTCGATAAAGAAAACAATGCCCGACCTGAAGAATTTGGAGCAAATGATTCAGCAAAGGAAACACAGCCCAGAATAACTAAGGAGATAGTACAAGAATACTTGGCTAGTTTAGATGTATTCAAGTCTCCAGGGCCAGATGAACTGCATCCAAGAGTATTAAAAGAACTGGCAGATGTGATCTCAGAACCACTGGCAGTCATCTTTGAGAATTCCTGGAGAACAGGCGAAGTCCCGGCAGACTGGAGGAGGGCAAATGTTGTCCCTATTTTCAAAAAGGGAAAAGAGAGGACCCAAATAATTACCGCCCAGTCAGTCTGACATCAATACCAGGGAAGATTCTGGAGCAGATCATTAAGCAAACAGTCTGTGAGCACCTAGAAAGGAATGCTGTGATCACCAATAGTCAGCATGGATTTCTGAAAAATAAGTTAGGTCCGACTAACATGAGCTCGTTTTTGACAGAATTACAAGCCTGGTAGATGAAGGGAACGCAGTGGATGTAGCCTACCTTGATTTCAGCAAGGCATTTGACAAGGTGCCCCATGATATTCTTGTAAAGAAGCTGGTAAAATGCGGTCTTGACTATGCTACCACTCAGTGGATTTGTAACTGGCTGATTGACCGAACCCAAAGGGTGCTCATCAATGGTTCCTCTTCATCCTGGAGAAGAGTGACTAGTGGGGTGCCACAGGGTTCTGTCTTGGGCCCGGTCTTATTCAACATCTTTATCAACGACTTGGATGATGGACTCAAGGGCATCCTGATCAAATCTGCAGATGACACCAAACTGGGAGGGGTGGCTAACACCCCAGAGGACAGGATCACACTTCAAAACGACCTTGACAGATTAGAGAACTGGGCCAAAACAAACAAGATGAATTTTAACAGGGAGAAATGTAAAGTATTGAACTTGGGCAAAAAAAATGAGAGGCACAAATACAAGATGGGTGACACCTGGCTTGAGAGCAGTACATGTGAAAAGGATCTAGGAGTCTTGGTTGACCACAAACTTGACATGAGCCAACAGTGTGACGCGGCAGCTAAAAAAGCCAATGCAATTCTGGGCTGCATCAATAGGAGTATAGCATCTAGATCAAGGGAAGTAATAGTGCCACTGTATTCTGCTCTGGTCAGACCTCACCTGGAGTACTGTGTCCAGTTCTGGGCACCACAGTTCAAGAAGGACACTGACAAACTGGAACGTGTCCAGAGGAGGGCAACCAAAATGGTCAAAGGCCTGGAAACGATGCCTTATGAGGAACGGCTAAGGAAGCTGGGCATGTTTAGCCTGGAGAAGAGGCGGTTAAGGGGTGATATGATAGCCATGTTCAAATATATAAAAGGATGTCACATAGAGGAGGGAGAAAGGTTGTTTTCTGCTGCTCCAGAGAAGCGGACACGGAGCAATGGATCCAAACTACAAGAAAGAAGATTCCACCTCAACATTAGGAAGAACTTCCTGACAGTAAGAGCTGTTCGACAGTGGAATTTGCTGCCAAGGAGTGTGGTGGAGTCTCCTTCTTTGGAGGTCTTTAAGCAGAGGCTTGACAACCATATGTCAGGAGTGCTCTGATGGTGTTTCCTGCTTGGCAGGGGGTTGGACTCGATGGCCCTTGTGGTCTCTTCCAACTCTATGATTCTAGGATTCTATGATTCTATGATTCTGGGCCTGGTGCTTTACTAATTACTGTTTGTTTTATTGCCATTTTTACTTCTTCTATTGTTATCTTGGTATTGAGTTGAATTCTCTCCTCATTTGATGTTTCCTTCAATTTATTCTGTTCTGAATATTCTTCTATTTTACCTTCATCTTCCTTTCCTTTGCAGAATAATTGTTTATAATATCTTTGAAAATTCTTCTTAATTTCATCTGGATTTTTAACTGTTTTCCCTTCAAGCATCAATTTCATTATCGTATTCTGTTTTTGTCTCTTCCTTAATTGCCAGGCTAGCAGTTTTCCTATCTTATTCGCAGATTCAAAATTTCTTTGATTAAAAAAATTAATTTTCCATTCTATTTCTTGATTTATTAATATCGAAAATTGTGTTTGTAAAATTTTTATATTAGTTTTAGCATAATTATATTTAGGGTTGTTTGCCAATTTATTTTCATTACTTCTTATTTGTTTCAATATCTCTTTTTTGCTCTCTCTTGATCTTTTTTGAATTGCATTCTGCTGTATCCAAAATCCTCTTATTTGATGCCTTTGATGCGTCCCATACAGTATTGATGTCCACTCCTTTGTTCATATTAAACTCAAAATAGTCTTTCAATGTTTTTTGTGCCTTTTCCAGTATTACTTGATTATCCAGTAATCCATCCTTCATCCTCCACCTGAATGTAGTTTCTTCTTTTCCTTTCATTTCCATTTTTATTGCGTTATGATCCAAAATGGTTTTGGGGAAGATTTCTATTTTTGTTGTTCTTGTTGCCAATTCTCTAGAAGTCCAAATGTAGTCTATTTTTCCAGCACTCTGGTTTGGTTCAGAAAAGTGACTGAATTGTTTTTCTAATGGATGCTTTAATCTCCAGATGTCTATCAAATCATTATTTTCTACTAAATTGAAAGATGTTTTAGGCAGCTTCCCTTGATTTGTTACCCTTTTCTTTTCTGTTCTATCCATTTCTAGGGAGACCACCCCATTGAGGTCTCCCATTAATACTAATTTTTGGTCCATATAGTCGAACAGTTTTTCCTCTAACTCTTTATAAAAGTTCACTTTATTATCATTTGGGGCGTAGATACCCACCATAATCAATTTTTCACCCTGTATTGTCATTTCACCTGCAATAATTCTTCCTTTATCATCTTTAAATATTTGGCGTTATTCATATTTTTCCTTTATATACAACACTACCTCCCTTTTCTTACTTTCATCTGCTGATATATATTCTTTACCCAGTCTTTTATTTTTAAGAATTCTATTGTGTTTTTTCACATGTGTTTCTTGTATACAAATTACGTCAAGATTCTGTTTTGATAATACGTGTTCAATTTTATTGCGTTTAATTTTATTGTTTAAAACATTTACATTCCATGATATTATTTTCAACCCCATTGTTGTCGAAAATTAAATACAAAGTTGTTATAATTTAAATTTCTTTCTCCTCTTCTTCTTTTTCCAGTGGTATGTCCTCTTCTTTCTTCCCCAGTTCTTTTCTGTACCTTTTCATAAATTTTCCCATCTCTTGGGGGGATTTGATTTTGAATTTCTTATCTTTGTAAAAAAGGATATCCCCTCCAGGAATTCCCACTTATACCATATTTCATTTCTTCTTAAAGTTAAGGTAATGTCTCTGTAATCTTCTCAGCATTTCAGAAATCTTTTTGGTGTTTCCTTGTAAGTTATAATGAATTTTTCATCTATGCATAACCTTTTTTCTCGATTTGTTCTTAAAATAAAGTCTTTCATTTCTCTCGAATTCAAAAATACAAGGCAGTCACCAGACAATTTTTTACCTCTTTCTGTCTTGTATTTAATCCTGAAAGCCTTATCTATTGTTTTCCCTTCTTGGTCTTCCTCTAATTCTAACCAATTTGCAATTTCCTTTATCAATCTTTCCTCTATATTCTCTCTTTCCTGCTCTATTACTCCTCTAAAGCGGAGATTTAATTCCTTCTGTTTCATTTCCATAAAGGCAAGAGCATCCATGGTTTCTTCATGCATTTTAGCTAGATCTGCAATCTCTGATTTTATTCCCCCCCCTCTTTTTTATCTTCTCTAACGTCTTTCTGTGTGTTTTTTACAGTCTCTTCTAGGGCTTGTGTTTTTATCCTGGCCTCTCCTAATTGGCCTCTTAGTTCTGCCACCGATCTATCATTTTTTCCCTCCATTTTGTCAAATTTGTTATCTAATTATTTTGTATCTTTTATATCTTTTATATCTTTTCCAATTTCTGCTAGGATCTCTGCAATATCTAATTTAAGTTCCTCCTGTTTCACATTTCTTCTATCTGCTAGGGTGGCTACCAGTCCCTTTTCCCCTTGCGTACTCATTTTATTTATCTGATTTTCTCCCTCCCCCCTGCAGTTCCTTATCTGGCCATCTGGTGGCATCTATTTATTTCCACTTTTAGTATTCCTTGTAATGTTATAAGTTGCCACTAGGTGCTTCACAGGTCAGTACAATACAGTCACAAAACAAACCGTTGTGATTATCTTTTTGGCCACTTGGTTTTATCCATAAAGCATCCACAGAGAGACCACGCAAGAGGAGAACAAAGGATAATGGCGTCAACTCCTTCTAGGTGGAGCGATGCTCTCTCTTCAGCTGCCAATTCAGCCTAATCCAAATCACGAAAGTCCCATCCACCATCTTCGATCTCTTCCCCGACCTAATCCACCGTACAGCTACAGAGATCTCAAGCCCCCCAAAAGAATAAAAAAGGAAAAATAAAAAATAAAATCCACAGAGTCACCAAAGGAATGACACATCAAAATTCTCCGGAGGCCGCCAGGTTTTCCGGGTCTCCTTGAGCTCCTACGAGTTAGAGAGATCTTTAAAATCCCTCCCAGAAATATTGCCGGTACTGGAGAGACTAGATACTGTTTTTCTGATCTTTCTTCCTCCGTTTTGAGGTTTCAAGGTTGCGACGTATCAAAGTTAAATAGTTACTTTCAGCTGAGCCGGCGGTGTTCCCCCTTTCACAACACACTCAAACCACTTCTCAATTCAATTTTAAGATTATTATTCTGCTGCAAATATTGTGTCCATAAAGTTCTTTCACCAGCTATTTCCTTCCCTCCCCAGCGGGTTAGAGAGGTTTAGCAAATAAATCAGTTATTGTCCGTTTGCAGCAGAAAACTCACGTATTTTTGTTTTTGTAGTAGAAAGCTTACTGCGCCATTCTCACGCTAGCAGAGAGACAGACTCCCTTTTTACATCTCCTCTGTCTTCAAATCTGATTGTCACCAAATAATTCCAAATTTATTCCTGCTTGCTTTGGATTGTCCTTTTATATCGGGAAATCAGCTGCCTTTTGCCAATGGAACTCGAGGCTTTGCTTAACAGGAGTAGCGATTACTCCCCCTATGCACCCGTGCCTCTATCCCCCTGGGCTTCCGATCCTTTTTACAGGATCTTTAGCCCTGGGAGAGATAAGCCAGGGGTGCCGCTGAATCCCCAGCACCCAAAACTCCCTTTTGGGGGTTTTTCCGGAGCTCACAGCGCCTTTGTGAAGCTCCAATCTCCTGTTAAACTTGGATTTTCCTGGAGAGGCTAAATCTACGTCCGTAATGGCTCCTGCAGCCAACCAGAAGTCCCCTTTTAAAATTATTTTAACCACTCTTGCAAGCCTGAGCTCATTCTAGGCTTTGGCCTACCTGACTTTCTCCCTGCAACTGTTCCCCCTTTATTCTATTTCTTATACATTCTCTTCTTAAATCTCAGCTTTTCAATAATAATAATAATAATAATAATAATAATAATTTATTTGTACCCCGCCCATCTGGCTGGGCTTCCCCAGCCACTCTGGGCAGCTTCCAAAAAATATATATTAAAATACTCTAATACATCAAACATTAAAAGCTTCCCAGAACAGGGCTGCCTTCAGATGTCTTCTAAAAGTCTGGTAGTTGTTGTTCTCTTTGACATCTGGTGGGAGGGCGTTCCACAGTGAGGGCGCCACTACCGAGAAGGCCCTCTGCCTGGTTCCCTGTAACTTGGCTTCTCGCAGTGAGGGAACCGCCAGAAGGCCCTCGGAGCTGGACCTCAGTGTCCAGGTAGAACGATGGGGGTGGAGACGCTCCTTCAGGTATACAGGACCAAGGCCGTTTAGGGCTTTAAAGGTCAGCACCAATACTTTGAATTGTGCTCGGAAACGTACTGGGAGCCAATGTAGGTCTCGGAAACGTACTGGGAGCCAATGCAGGTAATCCAGTCTAGCTGCCGCATTCTGGATTAGTTGTAGTTTCCGGGTCACTTTCAAAGGTAGCCCCACATAGAGCACATTGCAATAGTCCAAGCGAGAGATAACTAGAGCATGCACCACTCTGGCGAGACAGTACATGGGCAGTAGGGTCTCAACCTGCGTACCAGATGGAGCTGGTAGACAGCTGCCCTGGACACAGAATTGACCTGCACCTCCATGGACAGCTGTGAGTCCAAAATGACTCCCAGGCTGCACACCTGGTCCTTCAGGGGCACAGTTACCCCATTCAGGACCAGGGAATCCTCCATACCTGCCTGCCTCCTGTCCCCCAAGAACAGTACTTCTGTCTTGTCAGGGTTCAACCTCAATCTGTTAGCCGCCATCCAACCTCCAACCGCCTCCAGACACTCACACAGGACCTTCTCCGCCTTCACTGGTTCTGATTTGAAAGAGAGGTAGAGCTGGGTATCATCCGCATACTGATGAACACCCAGCCCAAACCCCCTGATGATCTCTCCCAGCGGCTGCATATAGATGTTGAAAAGCATGGGGGAGAGGACAGAACCCTGAGGCACCCCACAAGTGAGAGCCCAGGGGTCTGAACACTCATCCCCCACCACCACTTTCTGAACACGGCCCAGGAGGAAGGAGCGGAACCACTGTATGACAGTGCCCCCAGCTCCCAGCCCCTCTAGACGGTCCAGAAGGATGTTTTGGTCGATGGTATCAAACGCCGCTGAGAGATCCAGCAGAACTAGGAAACAGCTCTCACCTTTGTCCCTAGCCCGCGGGAGATCATCAACCAGTGCGACCAAGGCAGTTTCAGTCCCGTGATGAGGCCTGAATCCCAACTGGAAGGGATCCAAATGGTCCGCTTCTTCCAGGCGTGCCTGGAGTTGTTCAGCAACCACTCGCTCAATCACCTTGCCCAAGAATGGAAGATTTGAGACTGGGCGATAGTTGGCTATCGTGGCCACATCTAAAGTTGGTTTTTTAAGAAGCGGTTTAATAACCGCCTCTTTCAGCGGGTCTGGGAAGGCTCCCTCACGGAGGGAAGCCTTCACCACCCCACGAAGCCCATCACCCAGTCCTTCCCGGCTAGCTTTTATAAGCCAGGATGTGCAAGGATCAAGGAGACAAGTGGTTGGTTTCACTCATCCAAGCAGCCTGTCCACATCCTCAGGGGTAACAGATTGGAATTGATCCCACACAACTTGACTAGACAGGACTCTAGCACTCTCCCGCCCCGGCCCTGCTCCCACGGTGGAGTCTACCTCTTCTTGAATCTGAGCGACTTTATCTGCAAAAAACTTTGCAAAATCATTGCAGGAGATCATGTGGCCTGTATTGGGCCCCGATGGAGCAGGTGGTTCCGCTAAATTGCGAACCACCTGAGTCTCCTGCTGCTGTTTTCCGCAGATGCAATAGAGGCGGTGAAGTAAGTCTTCTTCGCCGTCGCTATAGCCACATGGTAGGCTCGACATTGAGCTCTAACCCGTGTCCGGTCAGATTCAGAATGGGTTATCCGCCACCAGCGCTCTAGCCGTCTCAACGATTGTTTCATTGCCCTCAGATCCATGGAAAACCACGGGGCTGTCCGGGCTCCATGCAATCGGAGAGGGCGCTTCGGAGCCAGACAGTCGATAGCCCTGGTTAACTCCACATTCCAGCGGGCCACCAGGGAATCAGCTGAAAGGCCATCAACATGGGATAAAGCATCCCCTGCCACTCTCTGGAATCCATTTGGGTGCATTAAGTGGCAGGGGCAGACCATCCGAATCGGTCCCACCTCCCTGCAGAGGGGAAGGGTCACGGAGAAGTCCAGTTGCACCAGGAAGTGATCTGACCTTGGCACTTCTTTCGTTTCGCTTTTACTTAGTGTCAGATCACCCACATCCATAGAGGTAAACACCAGGTCCAAGGCATGTCCGCAGCTATGGGTTGGGCCAGACTTATTCAGGGACAGCCCCATGGAGGCCATGCTTTCCACGAAGTCCCGAGCGGCCCCTTGTAAGGTCGTGTCGGCATGGATGTTAAAATCCCCTAGGACAACCAAACTAGGTGTCTCCAGGAGAACATCTGCCACAACCTGAAGCAGCTCGGGCTGGGAATCCTTGGTACAGCGGGGAGGTCGGTACACCAATAGGAATCCTGTACTGCCCCTATTGCCCAACTTCCAGAACATGCACTCAGAAAACTGGGTTTTGCCAATAGGATGCCTGGTGCAGACTAATGACTTCCTAAAAATCACTGCAACCCCCCATCTGCTTTATCCAACCAAGTCTCTGTTACACATGCCAGGTCAAATCCTCCATCCACAATCAAGTCATGGATCACAGTGGTTTTATGGATCATTGACCTGGCATTGCACAGCAGCACCTTCAGGAAGTGTGGGTATCCCTTGCTGATTCCAGTATCCGTCCGGTCAGGACCAGACCTGGAGGCAGGGATAGTCCTCAAGCAACGACTAAGCCTGCTTCCTCGGTAATGACATGGTCTGGTCTTAGCGTAACTCCTCCTCCTACCTGTGATAACTGAGATCGGTTGTCCCAGTGCATCCCCCCCTGTGGAACCTGCCCCAGCCATTTTGATTGCTGGGACCCATTCCCAGGCAGCCCTGACCCCACCCCTTAAAATAAAAATAAAACCTATACAAAAACCAAACCAACAGAACAATAAAACACAAAAAACACAAAAAACAGAAAGTTACAAACACAACGTATTTAAATTAAATTAACATAAATTAAACAAATTTCCACATCCAAGTAAATACCCACCCCACCCCACACACCCGAGGCCTCCTTGGAGCCTTATAAGCTGCAGTGGTGAGTATGGGGCCCGCCCCCAGGCCCAAGGTGGAAAATGGGCTTCAAGGGGGAGCGGTCCTCCCCACAACTCACGTCAGAGCAGCAGCAGCACTGTTCCGGGCCTCCTTGGAGCCTTATATGCTGTGGTAGACTATGGGGCCCGTCCCCAAGCCCAAGGTGGAAGATGGCTTCAAGGGGGAGCGGTCCTCCCCACAAACTCACGGCAGACCGGCAGCAGCTTCTTATGCTGCCACAATGGTTTCTTTAGATGTCTCCCACTTTCTTTCTTTTTGGAATTGTCTGCATTTCACCTTTAAGAAACTCCCATCCATCTTGGACTCTGAGAATTTCTGACCAGTAACTACTTAAGTTTTTTGAAACTACCCTTAAAATTGAGTGCATGTCTTACTACACTCAGCTTTCCCTTGCCCGTGTAACATGAAACCCAAGAGAACATGATCACTTCCTCCCAAGTTTCCCAATACTTCCACTTCATTGATGATCTCCTCCCTGTTGATGAGGTCCAGGTCCAAGATAGATGATCCCCTTGTTGCTCCTTCCACAATCTGGGTAATGGAATTGTCAGTGAGGAAATGGAAGAATTAATTGAACCTTAAATTCTTGGCAGAGTTTGAGTCTTCCATAACTATTGCTCATTTTGGAATGTCTGGAAATCTGCTCTAGGAAGGCATCATACAAGTCTTCCATCTGGCTTGGAGGTCTATAGCAGACACCCACAGTAAGGTCACTGTTGTTTCTCTCTCCTACCTTTTAAAAAAAAATAATATTTTTTTATTACATTTTCTGTTTTACAATTTCAAATAAACATTTTACAAACTATAAAATATCCAATGATTTCCTTTCTTCTCTTCCCATGGTGCATTCTGGACATCTTACATCCCTGCATATTTTACTATAACCATTCAAATCAATTTTCCACTATTACATCCATCAAGAATTATTTACTCTGTTGAATTTAACTTAATGCTGCCAGAGTTTTCCACTGTACAGTTATTTTCCATATATTCAAAAAATGTTTTTAAAATCTTCTTTAAACGTATGTTCTTCTTGCTGTCTTATTCTGTATGTTAAATCTGCAAGTTGTGCATATTCTGTCAACTTGAGTTGCCAGTCCTCTTTAGTTGGGACTTCGCTCACTTTCCATTTTGGGGCTAATAAAACATAAGCTGCAGTTGCTGTGTGCATGAATAACCTTTTCTGACACCTGGGAATTTCAGTCTGGGTTATCCCCAGCAGAAAGGACTCTGGCTTTTGGGGGAAAGTAATTTTAAACATTTTTTTAGTTCATTATAAATCATTTCCCAATACTCTTTTACATGTCCACCACATGTGAAAGAACATTCCCTTCACCTCTTTACACTTCCAGCACATATCTGATTCTGTCTTGTAAATCTTACTCGGAGTTAGATACCATTTATGAATGATTTTTAGATAGTTCTCTTTCAAAGAATAACATGCTGTAAATTTCAAGTCACTTTTCCAAAGTTTCTCCTGGAGGTTAAAATCTATGTTGTGTCCTATATTTATTGCCCAGTGCATCACTGAGGCTTTAACTAGCTCTTGTTTTGTTTTGCATTCTAAAACAGGTTATACATTTTAGGCAAAAGTTTATCTTTGTTTTGCAGGAGTTCTTTTTCTGAATTGTGAACTTCGGTCCAAAAAACCATTCTTTCTATCTAATTAAAACATATCATATAACTGATGATATTGCAACTCTCTCCTACAATTTTACTCATATTCTCTCAAACTTCCTTCCCTGCTCTAAGCCATGGATCTCTTCACAAGTATACAAATATTTTACATATAATTTTGCTACTCCTTCCTTCCTGTTTGGTCTATTCCTTTTGAACAAGTTATATCCCATAATTTCTACATTCCAGTCATGCATTTAATCCCACCAGGTTTTATTAATGCCTATTAGGTCATATTTGCCATCCTTGTGGTCCTTTCCAACTCTACAATTCTATGCCAATAGTGGCTGGGGACAAGAGCAAAAGAGGGTGGAACAATTAATGTAAATTTAACTTTTGCACAGTAGGCCAGTTTGTTCTCTCATCCAGACAACCCAGTATTACTATCAGAGTTCAAGGATACATTCCACCCAGGCAAAACCACTGAAGGAAGATGTGAAGCCAGGCGGGTGAGATGTTGTATCTGGGGAGGATCTGAGCCCTGAGGTGAGTTCCAAGTGCCAGTTAGAGAGACCTGCAGTACCACCACATTTGGCCGCTGGGCCTGAGGTTCTCCACTCCTGAAATATAACATGTCTAAAATACAAGGGTATATATTTAGCTGAATTCTTCTCAGAGTAAACCTACTGAAATTAATAGTTGATAGTTAGCTATGTACATTAATTTCAATGGGCCTACTCTGAATAGGCTTAACGTTGGATACAACTCGCAAGATTTTTTAAAATACAAATGTATAAAAATTATAATCAGTCTAAGGTCCCATAGCAGAGATAAAAATTATTTAAGCACCAAGTTCTTCTATGTAAATTACACTGTAACAATTGAGTGTTGAAGTATCACAATGACGACTGCTGTGAGTTCTGGGCCTTGATGAGCAATTCTGAGGTTATCCAGGAGATTATCCAGGTATCAGGACAGACAAGTTCAGAGTGGAGGGCAAGTCAGGAAACTGGTTTGAAGAACAAGCCAGGATGGAAGAATAAGCAAGGACGCAGGAACACACCAGGGCGCAACTAAAACTGGAAGCCCACTTATGTTCAGAAAGAGTCAATGGCCCACATGGGTGAATGGAATTCACTGGGGGCCTGAAGGTACTTCACTGGGTTGTTGCCACCTGCATTCATGGGCCAGCTGTCCTCAGAATCCAGACACTCCTGACATTCTTCATTTCAAGTTTAAATGTTAGCTTAACTCTAGCATCCATTTTCAAGGAACAAGAGAAGAAGTGAAGGCTCACACAGATTTACCAGTCAACATTATATGAAAAAAAATCCTACTTGGGAATTCCTTCTTTGATTTTCTGTCGTTAAGGGTGGGAAATCAATGAACTGTATACCTGTATAGGAGAAAAAACTGCTATTGCCTTTTTGTTACTAGGATGGATATATATATATATATATATATATATATATATATATAAATATGAATGAAATAGAATGAAATAGGAGAGAGGAAAGGATTATGGCTGTGAGTTAATAAAAATGTAAACAGGTGTGGATCTTCTGGCAGAACTGGGACAAAGTCAATGAAACATCTCCTCTTTCTCTCTCCCAAAGTGAAATTTCTGCTTGTAAAATGACAGTGCTGCCCCTGTAATCCAAAAGCCTCAAGAAATAACTGGTAAACTCTTAGTGCCTTCAGCAGAAACTCTGCCTAAGGATTTCCCATATGGTGTTTGCCATTTAAATGCAACCTTTAATATTTGAGGAATAACTTGTTGCAAGCATATATTTTAATACATTTTAATACCAATGGACATGATGACCAAATATTCATTAGACTCAGATGCTGTTTTAAAATATCTGCTTCTCACTTAATTATTTGGTCCAATGGGTTTACATTATTTCTGAACCCTTCAGGCGGTGGTATCAAATCTATGATACTGGGTTTTAGATTAAAAGTTTCCCGTTTAACAACAGGGTGCTTTTGTGAGGCATGCAATGCAGTAGAATGGGCTTATCATTTAATTTGAGGATTTGAGAATTGCAAATTAGAATGGCAGCCCAAACTGCAACCCAGTTGAGACGGAGTACTTTTAGTTTTTACCTTTCGTTGGGACTGGTTTATAAACAGGGCTGTTGCATAAGAGGCCAGTGGTGAGTCCCCCACTTCCTCCTCACTTTCCCCCCTCCTGCCCGGTCCCATGACTGATCATTCTGGGCCCAGGAGGCAGAGCAGAAGGTAAGCAAAGGATGCTGCTTCATCTCCTCATTCAAGTCCATACCCTCCAACATTTCTCCAATGAAAATGTTAGTATGTTCCTAACAAAAAGTGGGACATTCCAGAATCAAATCAGAAATTGGCATGGCTTCTCTAAATCAGGGACGTCCCTGGAAACTTGGGACACTTGAAGGGTCTGCAAGTCACAGCTGGCATGCTCAGAGAAGACAGATGGTCAGACCCTGACAACCAAGAGCAAGAAGAGGAGCTCAGGAGGCTCCAGGGCTGGCAGTAGAATCATAGACTCACAGAGGTGTAGATTTGGAAGGGGCCCCAAGGGTCATCTAGTCCAAATCCCCTCCAAGGCAGGATGGCCATCCAACCTTCTTAGAGACCTCCAATGAAGAAGAGTAGGGAGGAGAAAATCTGTCAGTTTTGTTGTGATGGCTCCTGAGTAGGGGAGGCTGGCTGGGCCAGGAGAGAAAACAGGAGTGGCTGTCAGATGACCCCAAGGCTGGATCCAGTGGGCAGGAGTGGTCTCTACCTGAGCCCATGGAAGAGCATTCTGGAGGTTTTAGTGAGGGAAACTCCCGTCCCTTCCTTTACTAAGAATATAATTCATATCATTATAATGTAGATAAGCAAAATTGGTATCTTGGAGAGATGAACTCTGGCAAGCTCTCAGCTGCTAACGGTGCAAGTTTGCAACATATTTTGTCTTTCAGTAATGTGCAGTGCTTACTTTTACAGCACTTAACAGAAAATTTGGCTGTGTTGATCTGTTCTTTCAGCAAGAGGTAGTTTAATCATAATAATTACAATGCAGTGCTCCCCCCCCCCATTTTGCAGGATCATTCATCACCTGTGGAAGTGGAGGATTTTCAGAAAGTGATGTGACTGATAGCTAGTTATTACTATTACTATTACTATTACTACTACTATTACTATTACTACTAAGAATACTGCTGGGAACTGTGTTACAATCATGATGTTACCCTCAGTCCCATGGGACTATTCTTAATGTGGAATGCTGCAGGGCTGCACTCACTTAGGGAGCTTGCTAATGTTTATGAAACTCTGCTGCTACTTGAAAGCAACAGAAAAGCTTTGCTACTAAAAAGAAAGGCTTTTGCCTTCTTCTGCCTCATATATATTCATTCACTCATTCTTAAACTTATTACTCATCCTTCCCCAGCAGGTCCAGCAGGGTGCATTAAAAAACAATTTAAAATTCAGTATTAAAATTCAGTAAAAATAAATTGTTGTTGGCATCTGCCTGTCTTGAGAGATATTGGAATGTTCCTCTGGGAGTGAAGTCAAACTAGTACGTTAGCAGCACCAAAATGACCTCCCTGGGGCACAAGCCTGGGCAGTGTGTCTGGAGGTCCTGGGCTGCCCAGACAGCAAGACTCCCCCCCCCCACTTCATTGATGTGGTCCAGAGGAAAGTTTCACAGCAGCTTGACTGCCGGAGTTGCCGGAAGGAGGCATACAAGGTGCCATCCAATCATGTCATAGGGAGTCCACTCTATAGCTTGCTGCTTGTGTGGGGTTTACTCCATAGCCTTTTGTTCTCCTGAAAATATCCCGCAAGACAGTGAAGGTTTAGAATCAGAGTTTTCCTTCTCCTAAATGGGCTCCCTTCCCAGGCGAGCCCCATGTGCCCCTCACTTCCCTCTACACACTGCTTTGTTCTTGAGGTCCGCACTGGCACACAGTACTGGCACGTCCCCTCTCCCAATCAAAGCCTCACACGCCCTTCCCAAAGCCTGAGAAGCTTCTACCTGGCTTAAGGAAGGAGGCGCAATGCTCTGGCAGGGCCTGAGAGCCCTCCCTTGTGTGGTGAGTACCAGCACCGTTTTTTCAGAAACTGCCTTCTTGACCATTGGACTTAGTAATGGTTTCATCTGCTCAGCCTGCTGGAGCCTGTCTTCACATGCAGGAGAAGGAATAGGGTGAGTCCTAAAAACACATGTCTCATGTGTTGAAGGTCAAGGGTTAAGAGGTGGCTTTGCCAAAAGCTGCACAAGTGGATGTGCCACGTGAAACTCTGTGGGGAGGAAATTTCACAACTTAGAGTAAGATACATAAAAGGAGAAAGTTCCCCGTTTGGAGAGCAGCTTTGGCCCTACCCTAAAAAATGATGAAATGAGTCTGAACCTAATACAGCTGTATCATGACACAATGCTGAGATAGGACTCCAGGACACAGATGGGGCTTCTCTGGTCTGTTCCAAATCTGGGAATAAAGGAAGTGGCCTTATGCCAAATCAGACGATTGGTTTGTCTCATTCAGTACTGTCTGTGCCAGAGTCCAGGGGCAGCTATTGCGGCACCTGCCAGAGGTTGTGGACTATAATCCTCATCATCAAAACTGTTGCTGGTACTGGTGAACAAAGCCCTATGCAACTTGGGACCAGAATTCTTAATAAAACCCATCTCACCCCTTATATACCCAACTGATCTCCACATGTCTTATCAGGATGTTGATTCTGTACAATGTAAGAATTGGGCCTTTTAATGTGGTGGCAGCTACTCTTTGCAATGCCCTCTCCTTATGTACCAGCTGGGCAGTCTCTCTGCTGTCTTTTGGCACCTACTGTTCAAAGAAGGCTTTTAAGAGGAGATCCTTATTCCAGTCTGCATCTGTACTGGAACTGTTTTTCTACATGGAATTGTCTTTAAATGCTCGTAATACATACAGAATTTTAAAAATGGTTTATATAGGAATTGTTCCAAATGGCTTTTACATTTGCTATGTTATTTGTTCACAGTCACTAAGTAATGTTATTTTTTAGTTATTTTTACTCTGGTACTATTTTGTATATTGAGACAAAGTTTATTTTTGAATGCTTGCCACTGATTGTAATAAAGAGGTTGATGGGTTGGTTCAATTTGTTTTATGACATTATATTTCATATCATTGTAACTTGCTCTGGGACCTTGTGGTGAAGGACAGGTAAGAAAGCAAATAATAAACAAATAAACAAATAACTCTGCAGCCGGCATGGTGAGGAAGGATGGGAGTTACAGCTCACGCCATTTGCCAGTCATCACATGGCCTGTTCCTGGTCTGCTATGACTGGCAACGTTTCCCCAGGATGTCAGACGGGATCTTTCATGGTTCCACCAAGGATTGAAGCTGGAACCTCTGACAGCCAAGCCATGTGTTCTAACACTGAGCTTTACCTAAAAAAATAAAGCAAGGGAAGGGGGAAAATACATTCTTCATAGGAAGCTGTCTCATAGTGTTCACCTAGTATTGTCCATAATGACTGGCGATGGTTCTCCAGGATTTCATACAGGGAAGATTTCCAGTCCCATGTGCAAGTGCCAGGGATTGAACATGGGCCTAGGCACCAGCTATGTGGGGCCCTGGGTGTCCGGGCACCCACAAATTATAAATGAAGCAGCCTCCTCTAACCAGGTGCCTTTGATATGTTCTAGGACTGCATCTCCCATCATCTGTGACCATTGACCATGTTGGCTGGGGAGCGGATGGGAATGGCACCCCAAAACATCTGGAGGCACTAAGTTTGGGAAGGCTGATCCAAAGCCTTGGGGAAAGGGGAGCTGAGCACCTTTGGGCTTAGGCAGGGAAGGTTTCCAAAGCTAAATCCTAATATACATACGTTTGTATGCAATTTTGCCTAATGCACACAGTTTTGCAAAGCAATTTCCTTATAATTAGATGTGAATTAGGTAAGTTTGAAATCCATTAAGTTTGAGAGCAGCCCCTAAATTATGGAACTCCTTCCCCACAGGGGCACCTTCATTGTACAGCTTCCAGTGAATGCTAAAGATGCACCACTTTGCCCTAGTTTTTGACTCCTGAGATGTATATTTTCAGGACCCACTTCATTTCTGTGATTGTATGTTATTTTAAACTGCTTTTAATATTTTGTTTTAATGCAGCAACCTGCCCTGGGGCCTTAGGTTGAAGGTTGTTGTTGTTCCTGGCTCCATTTTGAATTTGAGTTTATTTGGGAGTTAGGGGCTATTAAGGATAAATGTTTAATTGTACATGGAAATGGAAAATGATTATGTATCGCTAAAGGGAAGCTGGAACATTTTGTTGAAACTAAGTGAGGCTCTCTGAGTGCCTAATAGGTTGATAATTAACAAAGAATGTATCTCTGCTGCTCTCTCACATGGTGTTTAACTTAGATCACATGGGAGGAGTATTCAGTTGCAAATCTCCATTTTGTGAGAGCTCAGCTTTGTTCTGTGTGTGCTAAAGAGGTCTTTCCTGGAAAGAACACACCCTCAGACTGTAATGGAGTCTGCGTGAAGAGAAATAACTTTGATTTTAGTTCAGCTTGAAGTAACTTCATATGTCTAAGAAGTTCAGCCTGTGCTTGGACAAGTACATGATTTTGTGCAACTATTTGAATGCATCATTATTGTTGTAGGTCTGTTTTGGAACAAGTTCTGTTAGTAAAGCTTAGCAACCATATTTTTGGACTGGAAAATTTTTATTCCAAGAAGAATCAGTTTTTATTCATCCTATTGCTTACATATGAACAATATTAATAACTGCAATAGGGGCTTCTGCAAGCCACAAGATACTCCCTCGCTTGTGTATGGATACCTCTACTTGTGTTAAGACCTACACTAAGAGAATTAGCTTGCTATTACAGTGGTATCTCGGGTTAAGTACTTAATTCGTTCCAGAAGTCCGTTCTTAACCTGAAGCACCACTTTAGCTAATGGGGCCTCCTGCTGCCGCCATGCCTCCAGTGAATGATTTTTGTTCTCATCCTGAAGCAAAGTTCTTAACCCAAGGTACTATTTCTGGGTTAGCGGAGTCTGTAACCTGAAGCGTATGTAACCTGAAGTATACGTAATCCTAGTTACCACTGTACTATATTCCTAGCAATATATAGTAATAACATCTACCTCACAATTTGTTTTCAAAGGAATCCTGGTTTTAGCTGGATTAGCACACATTATTTACTCTCCCACTCTCACTTGGGATCCTTTTAATAAACTGTGCTGGTATTTGTAGTCAAATGTTACTCCTGCCTTCCATTAGCATGCAGAAGATGCAGTAAACAAAGTCATTTAATGCTGGTAAATAATAAATACAGCACATTTAGCAACGATGTCACTGGCATGCCACAGGAATGCTTACATGGTTTTATTTCAGGACAGGAATGCCCAGAGAGAGACTTTCAGAAAAAGGTGGCCCATTTCTTTCCTCCATTTCTGTCAGAGGCAGCACAAAGAAAATTAAACTGTCTGCAGAAAATCAAGCCCCCAAGCTTCAGTTTCCTCTAAATGCTACATTTATAGTGGCAGTAGGTATAAGGAAGTGTGCATGTTTTCTGAGTCACAATTGCTTGTTTCAAAAGACCATGCATGTGGTCAGAATGTATCTTTATCATGCCCCCCAAGGGATTAGCTCCTGCATGTCATCCTTAAATGCTAGGCTCAATTCCAAATCTCAAACTGTATTGGGCCGGGGGGGGGGGGCGCAGGATCCAGGCTTAGGCTGAGTGGGCCCTGAGTGGGTCCTGGATTGCCCCAAGTGAGGGAAGGCCATCCAGGGCCTTCAGGGGGTGGGACATCAAGTGGGAAGAAGGAGAGTCCAGGAGGTCCCTTGTAGGTCATGTGTTTGGGGAAGCAGCAAGCTATAGCATGACTGAACCTCCACTTACCAGCTGCTGAACAGAGGTTGCAATCCTGCAGCATGAGTTCAATTTGTTTTTATGATTCTGTTTTTTAAAAACCACCATGAAATTTCCAGGATTTGTTTGGCTATTAAAGTCCCAATGTCCTGCTAGAACATAGACTTTCTGATAAAGATGGGTGCTGAGTTGAGCAACTCAGCAAGGTATCTGTTACACACTAACCACGCCAAAGAAAACAGATATTTGTTTGAAGCCAGCCATAAGACTATTTTGAGACCATCCATATGGTCAAAATTGCACCCTTGTAATTGACATTAATTAAGCTCTCTTCTTGTGGTGGTTGTGTACCACTCAGGCAGATTGGAAACCCCCACTTCAGTCATCAGCAGACATTGAAAGGGTGAGGATAATCCTCCCCATTTCTTCTGAATTCAAGAACAATGTAGTAGAGTTAAAGGGTGCTAAGGGATAATGAATCTGATTTAAATTATCTTGCATAGGCATCCCTCAGCTAACAAATGTCCATTGAAGAAGCAATGCATTAAAAGGGGGAGTAAACTCTCTTGTCAGAGAATGTGTGTTTGGGGCATCATCAGTCCTCAAGCAGCTGCCAGGTACTTCCTGCCATTGACAGACCTGAATGCAAAATTCACCTCCAACCATCACTTGCAGAAAGTTCCAAAGACTCTAGGATCCAGCATGCTCCCAATATAACTTCAGGGATCTAGAGGCCTTTCTGGGTTTTTCAACACCATTTCAGAATCTGCTTTCTTCAAATGGACTTCAAACCAGGGTTGCAAAAGACAGAACTTCCAAATCTAATAGACATCAGCAGCAGTAAGACTTGACAAGATTTATTTTATTAAAATTATATCCTTCCCAAAGAGCTCATAATTTCTTCACTAGGGAATGCATTGTTTAAAAATAATCCCAGAACATATTCACTTGCTTTAAAGAGAAAGAAAATGAAATTTAAAAACTTCATGCTGTGTTTTCTCTTACTTTTCTCCCTCTCCATCTTTCCAGTTGTCTTTAACAAGATTTCTTTAGACTTCACAAAGCAGGATTGACCTCAATGGCTGCGGACATTGATTTCAGCTGCAGAAATTCTTTGCCATTTGAAAAACAGATTTGCCTATGAAAACCACTATAAAAGCATGAAGATTTTCAAGTGCACCATTCTCATTTGGTGTTTTCACAACCATGAAGATGCTTTCTCTCTTCTCGCCAACTCTTGGTTCAGGTAGAACCAAGATACAATCTGGGAAACTTCAGCACATAAAGGTTCTGCCTGAATCTGCTTTGCTAACAGGTACAATAACCATGCATGGGTGAATTCTACTCAGTGATCGATACCTAGGAAAGTTCATTGAAACTTCTATTTCCCTGAATCAATTGTAGTACCAGACTGGGATAATAAGTTTTTTATTTAGATTGAAAAAGTCACTACCAAACTTTTTATCAAAGGCTTAATAATTTGCACCGGCCAGGCATTTGGTGATCTGATAGACACATAGATCATAGGATTTTGGGACCATTTTCAAGTTCTCAGGTAGCAGGACTGGGGAAAATATTTTTTTCTATGCAATATGTAGGAGAACTGCTGCCACTTGGAGCAGAAAATAATAGGCTAGATGGGACAAGGGTCTATCTCAGTGAGCACTACTACTGCTTCCTGGAATTGTCCTCTACACTCAAGGGATAGCGCTTCTTCACACTGTGCATGCTTAAACTATGGAATTCAATTCCATAAGATGTGATTATAGCAGACAACTTAGATTTGTTCTGAAGGAAATTGGATAAATTCACAGAGGATCAATGGCCATGATGCCTTTCTGCTACCTCTAGCATGCCTCTAAATACCAGGTGCCGAGGATCATAGCGTTATCATTGGATGCATGTCCTGCTTGCGGACTTTCCAGGTGCATCTAGACAGCCACTGTGGGAAACAAGTTACTGGGCTAGAAGGGCCTTTGGCCTGATACAGCAGGACTCTCATATTCCATGTTCTTGTCTACACTGTGTGTGTGTTTTTTAAAAAAGAGTTCTCCTGGTAACTTTGCTATCCCATTGATGTTCTGGTGTCACTGTGCAAAAAAAAGGGGTGAGGAGAGGCTTTCAGTCAGAAAGCCAATTAAATTCCAAGCAGTATGGAAAAGGAGGAAAAAAGGGAGCCCCAAAGACCAGCCAAGGATGCCCCCTGTCTTGCAGATCCTGATAAGTCAGCTTGCTCAGCCCACACAGCCGAGGGTGGGAGAGGAGCATTCAAGATGGGAAGAAGCCTGGTTGGAAGGGACCAGCTGGCTTAAATACCTAATCTCTTCCTCTTCTCTGACAGCCAGGATAAATCCCACCCTCCTCTCTTTGGGAGCAAATCTCTCAAGACTTATTTTCCATCAAGGTGTGGCAAATGTGGCCCACTTTATGGTAGGACTGACATTCACATACTAACTCAAATACCACAAGGCCATGTGCATATCAAGGTTCCTATTCCTCCCTGCAGAACAGGGACTTATTGTGGCAAGTACCAACGTTCACTTTTCCAACATGTGGGAAAAAGAAGGACAGAACTGTGGGCACTGTCCTAGCTCTCAGACTTTATGCATTCAGCTGATGATCTCCAAGGAGCCTATGGCTGGATTCAGGCTAAACCTGCAGTCCTAAACTCAGTTACCTGGGAGTGAGTCCCATTGAATTCAACCGGACTTACTCCTGAGTAGACATGGTTAGGATTGCAGTTTACATTAATTGCACTTATTTCCCATTCAGTTCAATGGGACTGATGAAATCATGAATAACTTTTCATACTGATTTAAAGGGAACCTAAAAGCACCTAAGTTTGGGTAGCCCTACATGTGTAAGATGGTCTTTGAGCAATTGGGAGCCTCCCAAAAACCCGAGTTCTTGGTTATATGGAGAGATTTGCATAAAGTTGTAGGTATATGAACATGAAGTATATGAATTCTTCCTTGACTGGGTGGAGATTGGAAGCAGGGGCCTTCGAGAATCTGAGCTGGCCCAAGATGTTTGCTGCCTGAGGTGGACCACCAGGCTGGCAACAACACAACATCCTCCCTGCCACCTCATTTATTATGAAGTTCTAGACTGTTTTTTAATAAAATTGAAATAGGAACATAAATAGTGTATCAAAAATGAATTACCATACAAAAGATGTGTGGGGTTTTTAATCAGGGTCATGCTGCTGAGAGCAGTTGTGATGGAAGAATAGGGGATTTGTTGCGTACAAAAACAATGTTTTATCTTGCTTATGTATTTCTCTACCTACAATATCCAATAGGAAGTCTTCCGGTTTCTTTAAAAAATGTATATTTCAACATTTTTAAAACTTCATTATATATCATTTCCCAGAAAGCCTTCACTTTCATACAAATGAAAAAGAGGTACCCTCTTTTTCTTTAAATTTCCAACATTGATTATTTAGTCTGTACATTTTTGCTAACTTCACTGGTGTTATATTCCATCTATACATCATTTTCATTACATTTTCTTTAAGCGAACTGCAAGCTGTAAAATTTATTCCATCTTTCAGAAGTTTTCCCCAATCCTCTAATTGTATATTATAACCAATATCCTTTGCCCAATGTATCATACCTCATATATCATTGTTTAACTTCCTCATCTTTCACATGCCATTCTAAAAGTACTTTATACATTTTTGACAATATTTTAATTTTAGAACTCAACAAATTTACTTCAAACCTGGATTTTGTATATTCAAATCCATTGTTTTTCTTATCTTCTTTAAATATTCCATTTATTTGACAATAATGCAACCAATCTTTCACTAAGCTTTAAATTTCTTCATAAGGTTTTAATTTCCACTGATTATCTATTTCGGTCACCAAATCTTCATAGGTAGCCCAGTTTCCTTCCATATTTAACTTTTTTACACTTGTAGCCTCCAATGGCAATAGCCACCATGTTTTTGTATGCAACAATTGCAGCAAGAATATTATTGGCCCAAAAATGGAAACAGGAAGAGATCCCAACAAAAGAAGAGTGGCAGATGAAGTGACTGGACTATGCCGAGTTGGTGAAACTAACTGGGAAAATTCGGAACCTGCAGGACCAGACCTTTTTGAAAGACAGGAATAAATTTACATTGTATTTGAGAGACAATTATAAACAACTGACATCGTTAGTAGAGCTACAAGAAGTTTTGTAAGGTTAGAGATATCAATTATCATTAATATGATGTTTAAATGGTGTATTTAAGATTTGGATTTAAGGGTAATAATAATAATAACAAAATGCAATATCAGAGTATAATTAGGAAAACCATTAGTTGAGGAAGAGGGAAGTCTCAGGCCAAGATGGCCAAGTGGTTTTTATATATTATATGTAAGAAGGATGTTTTGTCAATTTTTAAAAATAAGGTTTAATAAAAATTATATATAAAAAGGAAGAATAGGGGGTTTGGCAAATTGTCTATTGTGTCCTTTTAAATAAGGTGTCCCAAGAAATTGACATTACACACTGCCATTCTGATGCAAGGTTAAAAAATTGGGCATATATTATCCTCCCCCCCTCCAAAGTGCACACTGAGATACAGCTGACAATTGACCAATTTTCATTTGAAAGGGGCTGGGGGATCAGTGTTTATGCAGTGCTGTTCATAAGATATTTTTTCTTGAAAGGATGAAAAGAAATCAATGCCCTTCTGAAATTACTTTTTGCAGAATTGCAAGAAAGTTGAGTGATTAGAGTAATCATATGCAATAAGTTACCCTATATTAACATGCAAATTAAATTCAAGAAGTTCATCCTTTTCTTAAATTTACCATTTGGAGCTGAAAGACAAGCCTTGTTACTCATATTTGAGCAGATCCAGTTGTGTGGCCGTCTATACAAACCTGTCTCTCTCTCTCACACACACACACACACCATCACCAAGCCAATCCCAGCTGTGGTGATTCTTTTGTAATCTACACCCATGAAGCCACAGGGTATGCAAGCCTGGAAGTCACTGGAAAGCAGTTTCCACATTGCTGCTACCATTTATAAATGGATAATTTCTTGTTCTTCAACCAATACTGGACTCCAGCTCCCATCATCCCTGACTGTTGATCAAGCTGGCTGGGTCTGAGGAAAGACAGAGTCCAAGAGCAGGTGGCGAGCCACAAGTCAAGACTTCCTTGCAAATGGGATCGTCCTCAGAAGGCGGTCCTTCTTGCAACTGGGCCCCTGGACACACCCCTGACTAAGTGGGTTTCGTTTCTAGGTCTAAGTTTCATTTCTCTAAATAGGCATCACGGGTTACAGCCAATCAGGAAAGGGGTGGGGGTGGTTAAGGAATTATATAAGCATCAGCGCAAGAGTGCCCTAGACACTTGATTGGTGCTGCTGAACACCCGCTCTCCCGCCCTTAGTGTAGGTTCTTGGCCTTGCTTTGGACTATGTGTGAGCTGCCTGTCTTGGGACAGGGACTGCGTAGGAATTTTTATCCATTTGGCAAATTGGCACTGGCCACTTGGTTTTTTGCCTACCCCCTTAGCAATCATCACAACTTTCAAGGTTTGGTGGTTAGGCATTGGCTTAATTTTGTGTGTGGAGGGGAGGTGTGACCATCACCTGCCCCTCAGTGATCAAAAGGTATTCCGTTAAAGGAATCTGGTGGTACCGGATGAAGTCCGCTTGATGGGCTAGGGCCATGCCGGGATCACAGGAACCTTGCAGTAAGCTTCTGTCAGGCAAAACCCCAATGTTGCTGCCCCATAGACTCTGTCAACTGGGGCAGTAGTCCATTACAGTCTTCAGCCAATGCCTATGCCAAGACCACTCACATTTAATTTGCAATCAATAAAATTGTGGCCTTAATGTTACCCATCAACCTTAATTCTCTGTCTGTGTGTAGTTATTTCATGGGGGGTGGCTTGGGGCCTCAAGACGCGAATCCATTGGTTGAAAACCAGCTAAGGTCCTGCATAGAGACCCAGGTGAGTGTAGTGTTTGGAGCATCAGACTAGGACCTCGGAGATGGGAGTTCAAATCCCCACTTGGCCATGAAGCTCACTGGGTGACCTTGGGCCAGTTACTCACTCTCAGCCTAACCTACCTCACAAGGTTGCTGTGGGGATTAAATGAGAATCATAGAATCATAGAGTTGGAAGAGACCACAAGGGCCATCGAGTCCAACCCCCTGCCAAGCAGGAAACACCATCAGAGCACTCCTGACATATGGTTGTCAAGCTTCTGCTTAAAGACCTCCAAAGAAGGAGACTCCACCACACTCCTTGGCAGCAAATTCCACTGTCGAACAGCTCTTACTGTCAGGAAGTTCTTCCTAATGTTTAGGTGGAATCTTCTTTCTTGTAGTTTGGATCCATTGTTCCGTGTCCGCTTCTCTGGAGCAGCAGAAAACAACCTTTCTCCCTCCTCTATGTGACATCCTTTTATATATTTGAACATGGCTATCATATCACCCCTTAACCTCCTCTTCTCCAGGCTAAACATGCCCAGCTCCCTTAGCCGTTCCTCATAAGGCATCGTTTCCAGGCCTTTGACCATTTTGGCTGCCCTCCTCTGGACACGTTTCAGTTTGTCAGTGTCCTTCTTGAACTGTGGTGCCCAGAACTGGACACAGTACTCCAGGTGAGGTCTGACCAGAGCAGAATACAGTGGCACTATTACTTCCCTTGATCTAGATGCTATACTCCTATTGATGCAGCCCAGAATTGCATTGGCTTTTTTAGCTGCCGCGTCACACTGTTGGCTCATGTCAAGTTTGTGGTCAACCAAGACTCCTAGATCCTTTTCACATGTATTGCTCTCAAGCCAGGTGTCACCCATCTTGTATTTGTGCCTCTCATTCTTTTTGCCCAAGTGCAATACTTTACATTTCTCCCTGTTAAAATTCATCTTATTTGTTTTGGCCCAGTTCTCTAATCTGTCAAGGTTGTTTTGAAGTGTGATCCTGTCCTCTGGGGTGTTAGCCACCCCTCCCAGTTTGGTGTCATCTGCAAATTTGATCAGGATGCCCTTGAGTCCATCATCCAAGCTCGTTGATAAAGATGTTGAATAAGACCGGGCCCAAGACAGAACCCTGTGGCACCCCACTAGTCACTCTTCTCCAGGATGAAGAGGAACCATTGATGAGCACCCTTTGGGTTCGGTCAGTCAGCCAGTTACAAATCCACTGAGTGGTAGCATAGTCAAGACCACAATTTACCAGCTTCTTTACAAGAATATCATGGGGCACCTTGTCAAATGCCTTGCTGAAATCAAGGTAGGCTACATCCACTGCGTTCCCTTCATCTACCAGGCTTGTAATTCTGTCAAAAAATGAGATCAGGTTAGGGGAAGCACTGTGTAAGCCACCTTGAACTCCATGGCAGAGAAAGGTGGAATATTAATGCATTAAACAATACACAGTAGGCATACATAAACTTCTCAGAAAACATGGCAGTGTGCCTGTCTGAGCTCTCACAGACAGACAGCCCCATCTGACTGTTTCAGTGTCAGGTTCTAACTTTCAGCTCTCCACTCCCTCTCCTAACTGCATGACACTCCAGCCAGCTCTTTTGGGTCACCAGGAGGCTGACCAAGGGTCTCTCCGTGAAACCTTCTTACATCCCTAGTAAGAAGCAAGGGACTCACAACGTATCCTGTAAGAACAAAAGCTAAATTGGGGCTCTGAAAGTACTCAGAATTTTGCTGTTCCTAATTGCAGCCTAAATAACTTATGTATGAGTATAACTGATATTTAGAAGGATTTTTTCTCTCATATGTTAAATGTTTGCTATTTCTGTTAGGGAGCAGGTAGCTCATTTCTGAAGTTCAGCAATGCCACTTTTCAACTTTTATCTACCCCTCCCTCGGCACTTCCTAGATTGACTTGTCCTTGGCTTCTTCCTTTTGCTGACCTTCCAACTCCTTATATGCTGTCTGTTCTGCTTTCTGTACATTTCTGTGGCAGAGAAGCCCCTGCCCTTAACCTTAAACCTGCTTGCAAGATTCATGCATGCTTAGCACAAAACATCTGCCAGCAGGAGCGCTGGGTTTGAACAAGACATTTTGAATAAAGGGAAATGTTTGCTGTTAAGCTAAAAAACAAAAATAAAAATAAATCCCCATTCACACAAGGAGGAGACCTATTTGTATTAATCTGATGACTCAGACCGTGTAAGAACTTCAGATGGATTCTAGCTGAAAGGTTTATATAGAACCAGGAGGAGGAGAAGTAAGGCTTACATGCCAACCCAGCAGCCTGAATTTGTTTGGAGAATCAGACTTGCCAGTAACATTTTATTGAACACTGCAGGGTCTTCCATTTCCAAACCCTGCCAATCATTCAGACCCCCGCCTGTGCTCTTGTTGTATCTTATTACAAGAGATGCGTCAATTTTATGTATTTTGCACAATTATCTGCACTGATTTGCTGTGACACCAACAGCCATTAGGCCAATCCCCCATTTCTAGCAGGTGTTACTACCCCATCCAGGCTTCCTAGCCTGTCCCTGAGAGATCCTTTGGAATCCAAGTGACTACAGACATTTTCACACAGTGGCATCACGTATAACCTGGTAATTATGACTCACAACTGCTGAATTCAACATAGTGCCCAACAATATAATAACTGACCTTTGTTTTGCCCTGTCTGCTCACTGCAGGGAAATAACAACTATATTTTATAAGTAAGGTTTGCTAGAACTGGCTTCTCCCCACCCCAAACTGAAGGGTTTTTTATGCTCTTATGTATTTAGTGTATCCAGAGCTCAGATTTACTTCCACAATCCTCATCTCTCCTGTGTAGCCTGGGGCTAATTCAGAACTTTGCTTGATGCTGATTGATTTCTAACCCTTCTCCTGTTCTATTCCACCACCACCCTGGAGCTGAGACTGCTAAAATAAGCTATTTTGCCCCACAGAGGAAGATGTAAGCTCATCTATGCACCATACATAACTAATGATTTCATTACTATGACTGAAACAGTTATGTATTGAAGTTCTCACCCTGGACACCAGGAGTAGCATGTATATAGTTTTCACTCAGGTCCACGTCAGTTACTTTAGGCGGGAAACCCTGGGTTGTTGTTGCTACAATGTTGACAGCCGGCTGCCTATAAAAGCAGGCTGGCTGAGCTGTTTGCTGTTCAGTTCTGTTCCAGCTTACGAATAAAGAGCTGCTTTGGAGAAATCGCTGCGTCGTTTGCTGTGTCTACCCACTATTTAACACTGGCCCCGATTCCAAAAAGCAAGGCGGAGTTGCAGGTGTTCCTGGGGCTGCTCAACTTCTATAACATGTTCCTGCCCCACAAAGCAACACTAGCCGAGCCTCTAGACCGCCTCCTCAGCACAAAGGTACCGTGGTCCTGGGATCATCGGGAAATGGTGACCTTCAACTTAGTCAAAGCCCTCCTCTCATCGAACAGTGTGCTGGTACAGTATAGTGAAGCCAGGCCGCAGGTCCTCGCTTGTGACGCCTCGCCCTTTGGCATCGGCGCCCTCCTCAGTCACCGGTTTCCAGATGGTAGGGAAGCACCGCTCGCCTACTTCTCCCGGAATTACAGTCAGCTCGACAAGGAGGCACTGGCACTTGTGGCTGGAGTAAAGAGGTTCCACGAATACCTCTATGGGAGAACCTTCGACCTCATTACTGACCACAAGCCGCTCCTGGGCCTCCTCGCCAGTGATTGACCAACTCCACTGGTCCTCTCGCCATGCATGCTATGATGGACTGTCTTTCTGGCAGCTTACAGCTACCAGCTCGTCCATCGCCCTGGAAAATCGATGGGCCACACCCACACTCTCAGTCGTTGCCTTTTTCCAGCGCTTCTGGAAGACCCGGCTCCTGCTTCATCACTAATTGAGGACCTCCCAGCAGCACCAGTATCGGTCGCCGACACAGCCTCTGCATCTGCCCAGGACCTCACCATCAAACGTGTGCTCAACAGGTGTGGAGGGGGTGGCCGGAAGGGTCTTTCGCACCAGAGTTCCAGCCGTTTGCAACCAGACAGCACGAGCTCTCGGCTCATCATGGCTGCCTACTGTGGGGAGACCGAGTCTTGGTTCCCCAAAGACTCCGCCAACGCGTCCTCGAGGCTCTGCACATCGGCCACCTGGGAATCGTCAAAAGGAAGGCGTTGGCTCGGTGTTACATCTGGTGGCCTAACATGGACTTCACTTCACTTCGTGGGTTGCCTCCTGTCAAGCATGCGAAGAGTTGAGATCCACACCACCGGCAGCTAAGGGTAACACCTGGGAGATGCCCAAGGAACCCTGGTTGAGGGTACACATCGATCTTGCCGGCCCCTTTCATGGCCGCACCTTTATGGTAGTGGTGGACGCCTATTCCAAATGGCTGGAGGTGGCCCTGATGCCCTCCACCACTACCGAGGCAGTCATCCGGGTGCTGCGAGGCCTCTTTGCGATGCATGGGTGTCCTGATGTCCTTGTTTCCGACAACGGACCACAGTTCACGTCAGGCACTTTTGAGCAGTATCTTTTGGGACTGGGCATCCACCATGCCCTAACGCCACCATTTCATCCATCCAGCAACGAGCAAGCAGAGAGAATGGTGCGCTCGGCAAAAGAGGCACTGGCGCGCCTGGACTAGGGAGACTGGCACGAGTGGGTCGCCGAATACTTGTTCGTACAACACATCACCCCTCATGCGGCCACAGGGTGGAGTCCTGCTGAACTGCTTATGGGCCGCCACCTCAGGTCTCCCCTTGACCGGCTCCACCCAGACTTTGGTGTGGCCAAGCCGTCGGGCTGTACTAACGCCCCACGGTCCTTTATTCCGGGGGATCAGGTTTTTGCCCAGAACTTTGTGGGGGACATTCCTTGGGTGCCAGCCACGGTAGTGGGAGTAACAGGGCCCCGTTTGTACCAGGTGGCACTCGAGAACGGACACTTGTGGCGCCGGCACATAGACCAGCTAAGGTGCAGGGTTGGGGATTTGAACACTACCACTGTGCCCCCAACTGTGGCCCCAGCTCCAGAGCAGTTGTTAATGGAAGTCGAGGCTCCACCTACATTTTCCTCACAAACTGAGGGCATGAATCTGAGCCAAGCCATTTCAGTGGGTCTGCCTGGCTCTCCAGAGACTCAGACCACCGCCATGCCTGACCGTCCGCCGAGTCCATTCACGGAGGTTCCTTCGACAGCAGCAGAGCCAGGGAACTTGGGCTCAATGCCACATTTGGTCACACCACAGTTGCAGCCAGAATCGGAAGGCCACCCGGACTCTAGTACTGGCCCTTGGCGATCCAGCAGGGTTTCCAAGCGCCCAGCGTATTTAAAAGACTATGTTCACTGGACAAACTGCACATGTAAAGCTGTATGGTGAATAGGGTCAATTAATATGCTTATGTGCCTTACTGAAACCAATAAGGGTATTGCTGTATGTAATGGAACCACTATGATTGTAACTCAGGTCCACGTCAGTTACTTTAGGCGGGAAACGCTGGGTTGTTGTTGCTACAATGTTGACAGCCGGCTGCCTATAAAAGCAGGCCGGCTGAGCTGTTTGCTGTTCAGTTCTGTTCCAGCTTACAAATAAAGAGCTGCTTTGGAGAAATTGCTGCGTTGTCTCCTATGTCTACCCACTATCTAACAGAAACCAACGGTGTTCTTAGCTTGGATGGTTTTAACTAGAGCTGTGTGCAAACAGACTCTAAAAATTATCCACCCTATTTGTGGGGATTCGACCCTAAGATGCTTGTTTCTTGATTGTAATTAAGGAAAGAATATTGTCTCAAAAACATCATACAGAAGATGCCTGCAGAGGTGGATTTAGGGGAGCGTGACAGGTTCAGTTTCACTAGAGGTCAGGTGAGGTGGACATTATGGGTGACGTATTTGAGGAACTTTAAGGCACCAGACTTGGAAGAGCCATAGCTCAGTGATAGAGCATCTGCATTGCATGCAGAAGGTCCCCAGCTTCAATCTCCAGGTAAGTCTGGGAGAGATGCCCCATCTGAAGTCCTGGAGAGTCATTGCCAATCAGTGTAGACAGTACTGATCTACATAGACCAATAGCCTGACTTGTTATAAGGCAGCTTCCTGTGACTCACAGGACATAATATAATGGAAGTCTTTCCTGTGCCCACTTCACAGAGCCAATTGTGACCTTTGAAGTGCTATATAGCTTGGGGCAGGTTACCTAGAGAAACCTGAGGTCTTTCAGATGTTCTTGGATTCTGACTCCCATCACTTTCAATCAGTGTGGCCGGTGGTTAGTGTTGATGGGAACTGGTGTTCATCAATATCTGGAAGGTCACCCATGTTCTTATTGAAATCAAGAGACCTACAAAGAGCTTGCATGGGGCAGTTCCCTGATAAAAGTCTACCACGTAAATAAGATTGGTCATGCAACATTTGGCTCCAAAGCATCTTAAACAAAGCCTAATAATAATAATAAGAAGAAGAATAAGAATAATAATTTATTTATACCCCACCCATCGGGCTGGGTTTCCCCAGCCACTCTGGGCGGCTTCCAGAAAAAGATTAAAAGTACATTAAAACATCAATCATTAAAAACTTCCCTAAACAGGGCTGCCTTCAGATGTCTTCTAATAGTTCTTTATCTCCTTGACATCTGATCGGAGGGCGCTCCACAGGGTGGGTTCAACTACTGAGTAGGCCCTCTGCGTGGTTCCCATAACCTCACTTCTCACAGGGAACTGCCAGAAGGCCCTTGGCGCTGGACCTCAGTGTCCAGGCAGAACAATGGGGGTGGAGATGCTCCTTCAGATATACTGGGCTGAGGCCGTTTAGGGCTTTCAAGATCAGCACCAGCACTTTGAATTGTGCTTGGAAACGGACTGGGAGCCAATGTAGGTCTTTCAGGACCAGTGTTATGTGGTCTCGGTGGCCGCCCCCAGTCACCAATCTAGCTGCCGCATTCTGGATTAGTTGAGATCAGGATTATTGGCTGACTCAAGGAACAAAGAAATATTACAGGTAGATGCACATTTATATTTAAATTATTAATATAAATGACACCACTTTGTAATGCTTAGCAACAAGGAGTCTTTCGCAAAACTGCACTGAAATTCTGTTTTCTTTCATTGGTCCAAGGGTACAGACACTACAGTATTCATTCTACTGCAGGGTCTCAAATATACCAACACCATAATTCACAGTGGTATCAATCAAGTAGATTGTGCTCAGGTTTGTTCCTGTATTTCCAATCCGCTTTTTGCTTGGTTTATGAAACACAACATTTATAAGGAAATGGAGATATAACATCTCGTGCCATTGAATTACTGCCATGAATTTATTCCTAAAAAGGCTGCAGCTCCCTGAGTACATTGGCTGGTTTTAGTGCTGCGTTGAATCTCCTGTCGTGGAGCGGCAGAGCAGTCTCAGGTAGAGACACAGGAAATGATCCTCCCCGTGAGTTCTCCTGGAGATGAGAGGGGTCCTCAGATTTCATAAATGCAGTTTCTTCTTGTTTCTCTTTATTCCAGTCCTAAATTCAGTTTACCTAATCTCTGCATCAGTTTGCATTCTTATTATTTTTCTTTTAGAAAAAACTATCTGCAGAAAATTTTGTATTCATTTTTGTGTGCATTGCTGTGCATGTTTGCAAAACATGTTCTGTAAGAAATAATGCATTTTTGTACATTATTTATTTCTTAAAATTCCAGACTGGATTATTTCAAAGCACTCTACCCGAGGCTGCCCTTGAAATGACTCAGAAACTTCAGCTGGTCCGAAATGCAGCAGTCAGATTATGGAGTGGAGTTCAATTTAGCATTTGTATAACCCCAGTTTTAAAACAGTTGCACTGGCTGCCAGTTCACTTCCAGACCCAATTCAGGGTATTTACATTAGTGGGGAGCATACAGATTAATTTTATGCAGAGCGGCTTGGAACCCAAATCACAGATCTAAGCAGAGAGAGCACAGACTCCAAAACTAAGTGGACAGAACAACTCAAAAACAGCTTTTTTTCTTTTTTAATGCCCAGATAAAGAGACAAGGGGTGGTTCTAGACACAGGTTGAAAATGCTATAAATAAGCCAGAAATTAAATTGTTATACAAAGGGGGGGGGGGAGTGTATGTAAAAATCTACATGAACTCCTTTTTGCTCTCTTGCGCCATTTAGTGTTGGATATTTATAACGCATTCAGAACGTATTATTGTGAAGAATGTAGCTGAGTCCAAGACAAATATTGGGGTGTGCACACACCCATTGTATTTACTAACTCCTGTTGGATGGCTGCAAACAGCCCAGCACTTATACTCTATTTGGCTGCAGTAGGTCTGAAATTGTAGGATTTAGAAGTGATCAGTATCTTAACATGCCATCTGACCAAAGGCTTAATGATGTTAAAAAGCTAAATCTGAACTTTGAGGGACAAAAAGTGTTTCTGTTCCTGCAGCTGATATAGAAAAATAGAGGGGTTGGCTTTTGCTGCTCAAATCCCCAAGGGACTGAGTCTCCGAAGTCCATCATCTGTCAGAGATGAATGGATGGAAGCAGGATCCAGTGGAAAGCAAGGCAGATCTTTATTTTTCTGTTGCAACAGAGGGCGCCCCCCCCCTTGCAAGGAAGTAAGAGAGACCCTGAACAAAGTGTGCAGGAACCTTTTGAAATTGCCCAACCCCTTAGCCAAAGACCACCCAAAAAGCATCACAAGAGGCAGTCTACAACACAAATTTGTGTGTGGCTTGTCTCCTGTCTGCCAGGATACCCGATAATGTTTTACCTGGGCAGCCTGGCCATTCTTTTGAGATGGTAAATACTTTGTTCTTGAATCCAGGTCATAGACCCACCCTATTCATACACAAATATCCCCCAAAGACAGGATCTGAAGAATTTGTTAAGTGACAAGAACGACTGGAAAAGGTTTCTCCAAGATATCTCCTTCTGCAGAGAGAGGAGTAATTAGAAAAGCCAAGATGGCTGTAAGGATTGCTCTCTGTGCTAAAATAATGTGTAATTTTCCCAGGAATGTTTCCTAAAATTTTATAACAATTCAACAACTCAATTTCCCCCAAAATTCAAAATGGAAGCATTTTTATAAGGTTTTCTGTTACTAGTAGTGCAAAGTGGGAGAAAATGATTTGACATTATATGCAGTAAAATTTAAATTGAATGTGTCACAAATTTGGTCACTGCATTTCAGAAAGTGTATTTGGGAGTAGCCTTGGGTAGGTATGAAGGAGAAATTCATTTCAATATACAATTTATACTTTCCAAACCAATTCCTGAATTGAAACAAAACTATGTCAGGTCCAACAAATTCCTCCATTTCCTCGCTGACAATTTCATTTCCCATAAGGTGGAAGGAGCCACAAGGGGATCATCTATCTTGGACCTGGTCCTCATCAACAGGGAGGAGATGATCAATGAAGTGGAAGTACTCAGAAACTTGGGAGGAAGTGATCATGTCCTCCTGGTTTTCATCATACACACGTAAGGGAAAACTGAGTGTAGTCAAACATGCGCTCTGGACTTTAATGTCAGGTTTGGCGTCTCTCCCACACACGACACAACTTCAGACAGGTCATTATTCCAGATTTATTGTTCAATACAGAGAGCTCCGGTCGGAGCTCAGATAAATCATTCCTCATTCGATGATCCAGTTGCCAGAACTAGGCTCCTCCCCTTCCATCCCCAACAGGGAAGCCGCCACCTTCTCTTTTACCCAGGCCCGCGCTTTTCTGCTGGCCTAGTTAATCTACGAGTTCGGGGCAATTCTACTCCCCCTATCGCTTTCTCTCCTTCTGTTGTGGTGTAGTGGTTAAGAGCGGTGGACTCGTAATCTGGTGAACCGGGTTCAATTCACCGCTCCTCCACATGCAGCTGCTGGGTGACTTTGGACTAGTCACACTTCTCTGAAGTCTCTCAGCCCCACTCACCTCACAGAGTGTTTGTTGTGAAAGGAGATGGTTAGCTGCTTTGAGACTCCTTAAGGGGAGTGAAAGGCAGGGTATCAAGTCCAACCTCCTCCTCCTCCTCCTCCTCCTCCTCCTCCTCCTCTTCTTCTTCTTCATTGTCAGAGCTTGCAAGTTGCATTCCTTCACGCTGTGCCTCCCTGTCTTGCTCTCTGTGTACCTGAGTCACATTACTGCTGCCAACTGCTTCTCCTCCCTCCCTTAGGAATTCTCTCTCTTCTTCCTCTGTATCTGCCTCTTCTCCACTTGTCAGTAAGGGAACGTTCCTGACATTTAAGAAGGTCAACTTCAAAAAGCTTGATGAACTTAAGGCTGCAGGGGATAGAAATGGGATTCAATATGACTTTAACAGATTGGAGAACTGGGCCAAAACTAACTAGGCCAAAATGAATTTCAATAGGGACAAGTGTAAGGTTCTGTACTTAGGCAGGAAGAACCAGCTGCACAAATATAAGATAGGAGACACCTACCTGGCCAGTAGCACATGTGGATCTAGGGATCTTAGCAGACCACAAGCTAAACAGTGAACAGTGTGATGCAAGTAATACTCTTCTAGGCTTCATCAACAGAATTTGGGTATGTTTAACATAGTTAAGAGGAAACTGAGAGGAGATATGATAGCCATCTTCAAATGTCACAAGACATCTCCCTAGATTTGCTTTTATGGGCAGGCTCAAGGTGAACGGCACTTCCTCTGGCTGCCCACAGCTGCACTCTCCACACCCAGTTCCAGGTACAGCAGGTTTCTTGAGTTTCCCAGGGTGTCCAGAGGATGGGAGAAAGACCCCCTCACAGTTCTTTCTTCACTTTCACAAAGTGGCTCATTGTTACTTTGAATCTCCGGCTGAGGGATAAGAGGTCACAGGTTTCCCCTTCACATCATTAGAAACCTTTGCTGCTGTGTGACAACACTGCCACACACAGGTAATTTCAGACCTCTCCAATGTTACTGACAGTGAGTATCTGAATTGTGTACATGGTTCTGCCTCTCTCCATTTTATCCTCACAACAACCCTGTGAGATAGGTTAGGCTGAAAAGCAGTGACTGGCCCAAGGTGGGCTGA